ACGACTTGGTCTTTGTAGTGCTGACACTGAGGGACTCGCCCACGTGAAGTCGGTGCTGCAGAAGAGACACACGTGCACAGACCTGGGAGAGCTGCGCAGCTATCTTGGCTTGCAGATCACCAGGGACAGAGCACGGCGCACCATTACCCTGACTCAGTCACACATGGTGCAGCAAGTCCTTCAACGCTTTCGCTTCATGTACTCCTCGCCACAGTCCACTCCTCTGTCTACCGGTCACTCGCTCTCAGCTCTGCCTTCGGATGAGTCCGTAGAGCCAAGTGGCCCGTATCCAGAGGTTGTGGGCTGCCTCATGTACCTGATGACATGCACTCGTCCTGACCTTGTTTACCCTCTTAGCATCCTCGCACGCTGCGTTGCGCTTGGGAGACACCGACCAGAGCACTGGGAGGCCGCTAAGAGGGTGATGCGCTACTTGTGCAGTACGTCGGGCATGGGGCTCGCGCTTGGAGGACGGGCTCGAGTTGTCCTCACTGGCCACGCAGACGCTTCTTGGGTTGACGACTTGGCTACACCTGTAGTCTTGGCTCCGGCTCTGTTTTTTTGCTGGTCTTGTGACCCCTTGTTCTCCCCCACTTTGCCTATGGGGGTGTGTCAAACTATATATGTGCTAGTTTTGTGTAGGCTATAGTGGGGTAGCCTTTATGGGGTACGATCCAATGTTAGGGTTAGTACTTCTACCCACAATCGTTTCAATGCAGTCATTCAAGCATCTCATTCTGACAGTGATCGTTCACCAACTCGAGCATCGGCTTGGCGACTTGGATGGGATGTCTGGGGTAAAGCTGTTCATCCTAGACGAGTACCCGCTGGATCGAGGAGAGAGAAATTGGAGGTGCCTTCAGTGGCTACAGTCGCTTGTGACTTTGTTCAAGGCCGACCTGACGGAAGAGATACTGCCAGGGAAGCCTATTGTGTGGTCTTCATATCATGCTTCATCGTTGCTATGTTTGTGTTATCATCTACGCTTTAATGTATGTTTGTATGTGATTACTCATTTTGTTTTGTTATCCTTTTCCCAACCGTGCCAGGAGTAAAAAACGCCGTGCAGAGAAGGAGCTGCGCATGTTCACCTCGGTGCTTGCAGCCTCTACCAAGGGCGAGCGCAGCTTCCACGCGTGGCTCACAGCCATGCTCAAGACACCCGACTGGCGGGACAACTACCCCAACCTTGTGCTTTTGTGGGTGGCGGTAGCTGTACTGCCGCTGAGCACTGTGGAGTGCGAGCGGGGGTTCTCCAGGCAGAACATTATCAAGACGTGGCAGAGAGGCTCGCTGAGGGACGCGCGACTCGGAGACCTCATGTGCATGAGTTTCATGGATTACGAGCCGAAGTGGGAGGAGATAGTGATGCCCCATAGCAACGCTCGACTCCCGCCTGCAAGAAAGCAACAGGACAAGGGCAGGGAGGCGGTTGAAGTGATGGAAGTAGTAGACGTAGAAGATAAGAACGAGGCATCAGATAGTGATGATGATGATGATGATGGATTTGATGATTAGGACAACTTAAAAAAAGGTAGGATGTAGAAGTAGTAACGTAGTTGCAGTACGTTTGTACTTTGAAGCCTGTATGTAGGCCAGTCTAATGTAGATTAACTAATGCCAACAGGAAACACACTAGAAACGCAATCAGACTTTTCAGCGGGCTAGATTATGAATTTTCGGACTTTTTGTGAAAGACACTCTGAAGATTCAGTTTTTTTTTTTGTTTCTTTTTTTGTTTTTGTTTTAATAACAACTCTGAGAAATTCAGAGAAAAACTGTAGACTAGTCAGGCCAAAAACGAATCAGCGTCGTCAGCGTAAGAAGAGTCACAGTGACCAGTAAGGGCGTGTAACCATTTTGCCACTTTTTGGCCCGGACGGTCCGAATTGTGGACCATCTGGGTAACGAAGGGTTTCCAGTGTCGCGTTCTCTCATTATGCTGTTCGCTTGTACCTTGCGACGTCGCAAAAAACTTGGACGGTAGTGACAATTTTTCCAGACTTCAGCGGTTCGAAATGTCAGAATCGGACAGTCCGAAACACATTCGGACCGTCCGAATGTCCTTGCATGAGAGTGGCGTGCAAAATTTAAACAAATTACACATTTCAAGTCGCGTCTATCAAGATAGCAATTAGGAATGAGTGAAATCACCACCTCTGTCAGAGTGCAGACGCAGGACAGGAAGGTCCTGGTGGAACCTGCGGCGGAGCCGGAGACGAACTGCTCGGATCCAAAGGATCAGGACAGCAGGGACCTCACCCTTGGTGCGCAAGGGGAAGGCCGTGGTGTAGCAGCCAGCAGAAAGTACCGCTCACCGCCCTGTCCACGAGCGCGGGCTGGGCCCCACACATCCAGGTGGAGGGTCTGCAGAGGAGCCTCTGTGGGGGGAAACGAGGAGGAGTGAGGAGCGACGCGCTGCCGCCCCTCGACGCAAGGAAGGCAGGGCGGCGCAGGCGAGGCAGGGAGGTGAGGGAGAGACCTGGGAAGACCAGACACAAGGAGGCGACAGTGCATGCCACGTAGACGTGGCAAGGAGGGGTGACCCAGACGGTGGTGCCAGAGAAGAGTCTGGTGCGACAGGGAGCGACACTCACAAGGGGAGGCTACCTGACGTGACGCAGACACCTGACCAGTAGCAACTACCTGAGGAGGCGCAGTCGTCAGTGTGTAAAGACTCGACCCTGGCCGACGGGTAAACGTGGCCAGGTGGCGGCCGGTCCAGGAGCACGTACAGATCGCCACACGCTGTCCTCCAGGGGTAAAGGTGTCAACCCACTGGTCCTGGAGAACTGCGTTGCTCACCAAGTTCGTAGAGAACGAGGGGAGGTGGAAGCCTGTCAGTGAGCCAGACGGAACCGCCGGGCACGGAAGCACAGTGGTGGACCGTGCAAGAACTGGGCCCCCTGAGGGGTCAGCCAGAGAGACTGCAACAGGTGCAGTGAGTGGTGTGAGTGCAGTACTGTCACGAAAGAAACAGCGGGAAGCACCTGAGTCAAGCGTGAAGGTGTGCAAGGCCTCAGCAGGCGCAGTACCTGAGGTAGCAGACTCGCTAGCACCTAAGGCAGCAGCCTCACTAGCACCTAGAGCAGCAACCTCTATACTGGGGTCGTACCGCACGCATAGGTGACAGTCACTCTCAGCACCACCACGCAAAGCAGACATGACAGTAAGGATGGCGTCATAGTCTAAAGCAAAGACAGCAATGCCCGACCTAAGCAGCTCAAGCCAGGGGGGGATCTCAGCCTCGTCGCCAAACTCTGTGCGCCAGGCGTCAGTCAAATAGGCGAAGCAGCGGGACTGTGCGTGACCAGGTGTCCCAAAGGTCTCACCAGCTCGACAACCTGTGCGAATGACGTACGGGCAGCGACCCGGACTCGGAGACGGCCCACGCTGGTAAAGCCACTCACGAAGCTGCCGGGGCGTAAGGGTCGGACGCCGCCGTAGCTGCATCTGGCCACCGCCAGACACTCCGCACCAAAGAGCGCCACAGTGACTGCTACTACGGCCGCCACCACTCCCACTGCTGCCACCACCGCCGTCACCACTCCCACCGGTACGACAAACCGAAGTCATGGCGGGCAAGCTAGGAGGAGCGCGACCTCTAGGGCAGTTTGGAGTGAAGGCAGTAGCACGAGTAGCAGCAGCAGCAGTAAGAGCAGCAGGGCGGCACGCGGCCAGACCAGGGCGGCGTGCAGCCAGAGCAGGGCGGCGCGCGGCCACAGCAGGGTAGTAGCAGGTAATAGCTCCTAGGGCAGAAGCACCTAGGGCCATTTTTTTAAAAAAATATTTTGATTTTATTTAGGGTTTAGCAAGGCGCTAGCGCAGGGCAGGGCGCGGGCGCAGGGCGGGGCGCTGGCGCAGGGCAGGGCGCTGGCGCAGGGCAGGGTGCTGGCGCAGGCTGCAGCAGTGCGTGACGCGAGGGGCAGCAGAGCGCGACGCGACGGGCTGCCTTAGGGCGCGACGTGCGGGCTGCAGCAGAGCGCGACGCGCGAGGCAGCAGCGCGCGACTCGTGGGCTGCCTTAGGGAGCGACACGCGGGCTGCAGCAGAGCACGGCGCTGGTGCAGGGCAGGGCGTTGGCGCAGGGCAGGGCGTTGGCGCAGGGCAGGGCGCTGGCGCATGGCAGGGCACTGGCGCAGGGCAGGGCGCTGGCGCAGGGTGACGCCAGGCAGGGCAGGGCAGGGCAGGGCGTGCGCTAGGCAGCGCGACGCGGGGCAAGGCCGGGCGTGCGCGGGGCAGCGCGACGCAGGGTAGTGGGGTAACGCGGTAACTGCAGTCGGAAGCTAAGTATGGTGGGCCCGAAAAAAAAACGGTCCTACGGATCTACTGCTCTGAAACCATATCAAGATAGCAAGCAGAAATGAGTGCATTGAATGAATTGTGGGTACAAGTACTACTAACCCTAATATTGGGTTGTACCCCACATGGGCTACCCCACTATAGCCTACACACAACTAGCACATATATGGTTTGACAGCGTCGCCAAATGTTCGAACATAGTGTGAAGGGGTTTGCGCGAAAATAGCGAAAACCGTGACTTGGGTTACGAAAAATACAGTGCCTCTCGCGATGCTACGGAACTCGCGAATTTGAAAGAAACTCCAAAAAGTGTCACTATCTACTTCGCACGGTATCAAAGTGCCGAATTGTCGATTTGGACGGCCCTAACCGTCGATTAGGACCGTTCGAATGAAAAAAAACGGACAGTCCGCAAAAACCCAAAATGGCAAAATGGTTACACGCCCTAAGTACGACAGACTGTCTCCCTCCAAGTACCAGCCCCACGCCTGATGTCGTCGCTAAGTACTTCGCCACCCATGCACCCCCTGATTCATGCACAACATTTTCCTCGCTCCTCCAGTGCAGCACAGCCGTGCCCTATCCGAACCGAACCCTGCATAGCTAAGCAGATAGTAAGTTTATTACTACACAAAACAAGCCATTTGTCAGTTGACCAACAGGAACAAGTTGGCCAGAATAGAACCCAAAACAGCACAATCAATCACGGCGGTTGTTCTGGTTGCTAGGAGCAGCAGACCACCCAAACGCACTCCCCCCCTCCTCCCCTCCATCCCACCCCCCTGCACCCCACCCACTCCCCCCGCCACCACTGCCGCTGCTTGCACTACCACTGCTGCCACTGCCACCGCTGCCAGTCAGCCCCCGGATATCCCTCCAGATCTTCTTAGCAGTCGCCAGCACATCGTCCCACTCTAGCTTGTCGAGGAGCACGCTGTGATTGGTCCAGATGGAGTAGGTGATTGCGGAGATAAGGCCGAGCCAGACGAGCATCGGGAGGTAGAGCAGGGAGGCGACGGGCGAGGCTCGGTAGAAGGCAAGGAAGGTGGAGAGGGAGGAGACGGTGAGGGCGCCTGGAGGAGGAGGGAGGGGAGGGGAGGGAGGGGAGAGGAGGGGAGGGGAGGGAGGGGAGAGGATGGGAGGGGACCATGACCAGGGTAAAAGACATGAAGCTGAGAAACGGCGAGAAGTGAGGCGAGGGGAAAGGCGAGAGGAGCGGTGAGGGGAGAGGCGAGGGGAGAGGCGAGGGGAGAGGCGAGGGGAGAGGCGAGAGGAGCTGTGAGGGGAGATGCGAGCAAGAGGCAATGCGGTGGAAGGAATGAAATGGAGGTGAAGGAGATGAATGGAGGAAAAATGTGCATTGCATTTACAAGTAACGACTGAGATTGGCGCTTCAAAATCCCGTTTAAAGTTCACAATGGTGCCTTACGTCTCACCTTTGCGAAGGACTTGACGGAGACGAATGGAGGAAAAATGCGTTGCATTTCCAATTTCAACTCATGTTGGCGCTTATATCCCGTTCACTGGTGAGCTTCTGCCCTTCTATTCCGTAAGAGTTCTGAGCTTGACAACTGGAGAGTCGCTTTTTTCAGTTCCATACTTTCCTTTCACAAGGGCTGTATGCTGCACCTCTCCCGTTACCTGCCAGGCAGTCAATCTGCTTCAGGCGGAACGTGACAATTCGCCACACCAGCCCCCCAGACCAAATAACGCCTTTCGCCCAGCCACGGTAGCACTTCTAAACCGTACCTTACCTCCCACCCACCCATTAGCCCTCCATACCTGCAACTGCAGCCGCCGCGTCGATATTCTTCAGACGGAACATGACGATTGGCCAAAGCAATCCAACGGCTAGTTGGATAAAGTAAATCTTCATCGCGCCGCGCTGCCTCGCCCATCCGCCTTGCCGCCAAACCATCCACGACGCCGCGCCAGCTGGCAGCTGCAGCACCGTCCACGTGGCGGCCATCAGCCAATCGGACGGCGCGAAAGAGGGAGGGTTCAGGCTGCGAAACCACCGGTACGCGTCGCGTTCCCCGAAGCCCGCGGCGGCGAACGCGGCCGCGGTGGCGGCGACGGGAATCACGACCGCCGCGGTGAGCGGAAGAAGCTGGCGCGCGAGAGCAGGGAGCGTGTTGCTGGCGGGCGGAGAGCGCGTGGCGGCAGCGGCGCCGGAGCTGGCGGCGGCGGCAGCGGCCGGGGCGGCGGAGGGCGCGATAGGCGCGGGAGGCGCGGAGCCGAACTTGCCCAGGTACTTGGCGCTGACGACGAGACGGCGGGAGGCGCCGTGCCGAACCGGCGCGCAGGGGGAGGACGGCGCGCGGACGCCGCTTTCGCGCGAGAGAGGAGTCGAGGCGCGAGACACGGACGCAGCGGACGAAAGTGCCGCGGCCGCAAAGTACGCGGAGCGCGCGGAATGCGTGGAATGCGCGGTGGCGACAGGCATTACGCTTCGAGCGGAGGTTGACGGAGTCCGTTGGATTGCCGCATGGTGGAAATCTGTAACGAAATTCGCGGGAATTCGTCCCGATGTGAGGGAAGCCGCGGAAGCCATAACAAGCAGTGCGGGCAAGCAGTCGTCTTGATGATATGTAGATAATTAGGCCGGGACGGAGCGCCGTGCTCGAGGTGCTAATAGTTCGCCCACCGCCAAAATCTGCTGCAGAATAAGGAAAGAACAACAATAGGTGCACACAGAGGCGGACGTGAAGTCTAGAACATATAGACATCCAGTCCAGATATTTGGTCCAGTTGGAAATTGTGTGCCATGCAGAGGTTGGGTGCACACAGTCTTGCGCAGATGCCAAGCCAAATGTTGGTGCTTCTCAGTGAAGTCGGGGGAGGGGGAAGAACGGGGGGACTCGATGCGGGAGAAAAACGGCATTTTGTGCCACATTCGCAGCGTGTGAGGAACATTGTACGCGCGAGAAGGTCCTCGATACAGATATTTACAGCTCCCGGAAGGGTGCTTTACACTTCCAGCTCTCTCCCTAATTGGATACTAACTGAAAACTCAAACAAATCCAAGCTCGATTAAGATGAACGAACTATATACTGATAAGGACTCTAAGCTGCGTACATTTTCCATCAAACGGCAAATCGGCCAATTTCCTCCACGCCTTCTCTTCTTCCACCCACGCCTGCAAATCGCCCTTTCCCTGTCCACCCAACCTAGAGCCCCCCACAGACACCACCAATCCTCCATCCAAGACCGCTAAATGCCGAAGACCCCCACCGTTCCTCCACGAAGATATGATCTTCTTGGCGAGATCAGCTCTCCAACCGGGAATCCCAAGGCCTAAGGACGTTACAATGTCTGCTGTTTTGCTGCTGCTGTAGATTTCTTTTAGCGAGGACGGCTGGGACCAGGAGTGGGTGGACGGATGGAATGAGATAATAGAGGGTTCTAGAGAGGGGAGGAGTGCGCCTGAGAAGATGTGCCAGTCGCCGTTGAGAGCAAAGGAGAGATGAGGAGAGCTGCCAGGGAAAAACAAAAACAGAAACATTTTTTTGAGAAACAAAAAGACGGGAGAAATATAAGACATTGCGAATCATGTGGGGTTACTTGAGCGGGAAGCTTTCAATGAGGGAGTGGGTGAGTGGACGGAGCATTGCCGCACCAGGCAGGGCATGAGGGAGAAGGCAGCTCCGTCCATGTCCACTTGCTGGTTGCTCCCCTCCCTGCCTGCCATCTCGACTCTCCCTCTCCCTCCAGATCCCCTCCACTTTCTCGTTCTCCTCCTCCAGATCCCTCTCTGTCTCCCTCCTCCTCCCCCTCTTCCTCCTCCTCTTCCCCCTCCTTCTCCTCCACCCAAGCTTCTCGTGCCTCCCACCACACCTCCTCCTCGCTTTCTTCTGCCATCCCACCATCCGAACCACTGCCCTGCACTCGAAAATTCTGTACCGTCCTTCCCACATACCCATTCATGCCGTTATTCCTCTTCACCCTCCATCCCCCTTTCTCTCCGCCCCCTCCGCCCCCTCCACTTCGTCCACTATCCGCTCCCCTCTCCCCTCCTCCTTCCCCTCCCGAGTCCGCGCCCCCCTTCGCCCCCCCCACCTCTTCACTCAGCCGCATCGCAACCACCTCGCCAGGCCGTGAAGACACACCCATGTACACGCACCGACCAATCACCGACGAGAACAGCACCACCTTCCCGTGCGCACCAATTGTGTCGCTCAGCTTCAGCTGACGTGGGAACGGAGGGCCCTCGCTCCAACGACCAGTGGACGAGTCAAACACTGCCACCTGGAAGGAAAAAAAGAGCTGTTCAACTCAAGAGAAATGACCTCATTTTCTGTAATAAGAATTACATCTATAATCTTTTTTTTCGGCAGAAAAGACAGCACATATTTGTTTCTGCAACTTTGGTGATGTGTCATGCAAAGACGCGGCACCTTGTTGACGTGGCAGAAGGGGTAGGAGCCCCCCGAGTCATCGTCGGTGCCGAACGCGAGGAGGTAGCGACCCACAACCTCCACACAGCGCACAAAGCGCGGCCCGCGCCATGGCAGGGCGAACCAGCGTGATAGCACTGCAGCAAGAAAGAAGAGACAAGAGCAACAAGGAAAGACATCTTGGGGGCCGAATCCTTGAAAAAAAAATCACGAGAAACAATTAGTGTGCGAGGTGCTGTGTGTTGCGAGATAGCGCTTGGCGAGTAGGCGAACCAGTGAGGGCTGCGCAGAGGGATCAGCCAGCTCCCCGTGGCCCCAGGTGACTGCCCCAAGTGACTGCCCCAAGTGACTGCCCCAGGTGACTGCCCCAGGTGACTGCCCCAGGTGACTGCCCCAGGTGACTGCCCCAGGTGACTGCCCCAGGTGACTGCCCCAGGTGACTGCCGCAGATACTGCCCCAGGTGACTGCCCTACGTGCTGAGCCATCTAGAAACAAGTCCCGAGGTGCGAGCGAGTACCTGGCGAGTAGGCGAACCAGTGAGAGCTGCGCAGAGGGATGAGGTGCAGCCAGCTCTCCGTGGCGCCCAGGTTACTCCTCTGCCTGGTCGGAGAGAGACGCGGGAGATGCGGGAGATGCGGGGGATGGGGAAGATGGGTTAGATGAGGGGGGTGCGGGAGATTAGCAGGAGGGGATGATATAGAGAGGAGTCTCGAACGAGGCATTATAACCACAAAGAGAGGAGGGTGATGGCTCGGAGGGCTTTGGGGCACGGAATAAGAGCGTCACTTGAATTGACGTCAATTCAAGAGGTGTTTTTCAAAATAGTTCCAATTCGTGGTGCGTAAGTCGTTCGTTGTTAACTCGTGGCGAGTATCAGTAGCAGTTGCATAGTACTAGTGATAAATTTCGGTCGTCGAATCTCACGTGTACAGCTCGGACCCTTCGATTGCGGCGTGCCAACTCCTACAGACCAGCTTGAGAGATCCATAGAGGCCACGTGGCACGCGAGCCAAGCATGACAGTGCCACGTCATCCGGCAAGCCTGGTAGTAGGCAGCCGCCGACAACGGTGGCCATGTCGCACAGACGAGAACCAACAGGTTGAAATAAGGGGGAAAACGATTTTTACTGTGTGTTCATCCTAACGGATGGGCACTGCGCGGGCTGTAATACTTCGTCTCTAGGTTACGGAAGTCAGAGCTGTGGCTTCATAGTTGGAGGAATTTCAAGCATCTACCGAATTAGTTCAGTGGTCGCAGATTTGGTGACTTTTGGCTCGATACAGCACTCTGCGACAGAGTTACATTCGAATTCTTAAATATGTTGAATAAGGTTGACAATTCGCCTCCATATCAGCAGAAGTTTCCGATCACTGTGCCCCACGTTCACGGCACAACCCCGCGAATCCAGCATTCTCCACACGCAGGCTTCACGGCAGAGCCTACAGAAAGTTTTCTCCACGCGTGCAGCATGCCCGCACCGTCAAGAGATTTTTTTTGTGGCTGTCCACACGTGGCGGTCCATTTTCGGAATGTTCCCTCCCCCTGAAACACAGTCGCCATTCACCACCCCTTAATTACCGCCACTTGGCAGGTAACGACTGGTGCCTTGAATTTCAAACCTTTAAATGGGGTCTCAAAGTTGAGCTGTGTTCCGGCAATGCTGATGAAAGACAATCTCTAGGGGCATTTCGTTTTCTTGAAGTGGTAACTCTAATCTAACGGTCCGATTCTACGCTAAGCCGCTGTTACACGATGAAGTTGAATAACAGCGAGACTGAAAGTGCTACCTTTATGCAACCTGTACGATTGAACAGCACAGGCCATACGGGCCCTAGCAATCCATGGTTCCTCTGTGGAAGTCCAACACAGCTCCCTATTTTATCAGTTCACTTCATGGCCCTAATCTAAACAGCAGTCTCTCGTCTTCCTGACGACGAACATGCAGAACATCATTATCCTTGATCCAAGTTTCTGACCCTAGGGGTACATGCTTGCTTAGCTCGTAGCGAACTTGATGTCTCAGTTGTAAGAATCGTGAATTAGACCTATAGTTAGAAGATTAAGGATAGAGTTAGGGATATAGATTTCAGGATGGGGGCGTACTTGACGCATCCAATAACGGATAAAGAGTCGGAGAATGGCGAGGACGATCGCATACGGTATGCAGCCGCGTCAATGCAAGGCTGGCGAATGACAATGGAGGACGCGGTAAGTTTTCTTAACGCACCTTAAACCATTTAGTGGGAGACGCGGTTAGCGTCGTATTCACAACAACTCTTTCGTCGCTTTCTTCGATTTGCCATTCTCAGTATTTGTCAGTCGGTTTTACCAGAAAGTGTTGTTTCGCTTTCGCGTTCGTCCATGCAACCACCTGTCGTAACAGCACGCCTTTGTCGCTTTGTCTTGATGCGCTTACCCTTTCTAACAGCACGCCGCGGTGCTGGATACTAACGGGGATGGACGGCCAGAGGTGTTCGCTGTTTTCGACGGTCACGGGGGTAAGCTCACATGCTTCCCTATGCCCATTCACGTGTAGCGGGACGTCTCGAAACGAGTCCCGTTTCCGTCGTATGTATCTCTCGCGTAGAACACTTCGGTCGCCCTTTCGAAGCACCGCCGTAGCACATTCTTATTGCAGGTCGCACAGTAATTTGACCCTCTCTCTCTCTCTTCCCCCCTCGCCACATGTTCCCGCGGAAGGCAACGAGATGGCAGCGTTCTGCGGTCGGCACCTACCAGCGCAGCTGGTTATAGACTCAACTCAGAATACTCCGTTTCAACCCCTCCACTCCGCTTCTCCCCCGCTTACATCTACCCGTGTTTTCGCCCGCGGCAGGCAGCGAAGTGGCAGCGTTCTGTGGGCGGCACCTACCAGCGCAGCTCGCAACGGCTCTCGAGGCCAACCCGGGGGACATTCCCAAGGCTCTCATATCCACCTTCTTTAGGTGTGAAGGAATGCTAGTTTCAAGGCTCCCTTTCGTCCTCATTTCCTATGATTTGCTTCGTCGCCTGAACCATGGCTTACGTTTCCTTGCAGCTAGTTTGGTTTGGTTTTTGTGGGCCGTTGTGCGACGGGTGTTGCCGAGTCATCCGCGCAGAAGCCCTTTTTTTTTCCTTAAGATGGACAAGGAGTATGCTTTGTTGAAGGACAAGTTTCGTCAACTCTCGTCATTATGTATTAATGTACATGACATTTGTTTTTCGGTCTACAGGATGGACGAGATGATGGCGCGCGAGGAGCACCGGGCGGAGCTGCAGCAGCTGGCGAGCGAGGGGAAGGAGAGTGAGGACGCGCGGCTGAGACAGGAGGAGCGAGAAGCGCGCCGCGGCGAGGGCGAACGCAGCGCGCTCGTTGCCTCTGTGTTCGGGGCTGGTGAGGAGGAGGAAGAAGAAGAGGAGGAAGAGGAGGAAGAGGGGGAAGAGGAGGAAGAAGGGGAAGATGAGGAGGAGGAGGAGGGGGAAGAGGAGGAGGAAGAGGAGGAAGGGGAGGAGGTTGAGGAGGGTGAGGAGGAAGAAGAAGAGGATGAGGAGGATGAGGAAGGGGAAGAGGCGGATAGTGGTGGGGAGGTGGTAGGAGAGGGGCCTAAGGGCGGGGCATTGGAGAGCAGAGCAGATGCAGCAGAGGAAAAGGGGTTAGAAAAAATACAGGACGGCACGGCGGGTGGAGCAAGTGAAACGGTTGGATGCCAAGGTGTGGAGCAAGGGGAGAAGCAGGGGCGGGAGCAAGAGGAGAAGCAGGGGGGGGAGAAGGAGCAGGGAGGAAGAAGCCGTGCAAAGCGGAAATCAAAACCCAGGAGAAGCACTAGCGCGTTAGGCGCACAGGGGAAGGGCGCATCTGCAGATGAAGAGGAGAGCGGCAAGGGGAAGGAGACGGGGAAGGAGGGTGGTTGTGGTGCAGAGAAGGCTGAGATTAGTGGAGAGAAGGGGGAGAGTGGTGGAGAGAAGGGGGAGAGTGGTGGAGAGAAGGTGGAGAGTGGTGGAGAGAAGGTGGAGAGTGGTGGAGAGAAGGTGGAGGGCGGTGAGGAGAAGGGTGAGAGTGGTGGGCGGAAGAAGAAGAAAAAAGCGAACAAGAGGAAGAGGGAGGGCGAGCGGAAGGAGGGAGGGACGAGGGCGCGCGTGCATTCGTCGTCGCTGTCGTCCAGCCTCATCAAGATGTTTCTCGCTGACGTTGTTAGGCGAGCCAAGGAGGAGAAGGAGAAGGAGGGGAAGGAGAAGGAGAAGGATGGAGGAAAAGGGGAGGAGGGGAAGGACGGGCAGAGAGGCAAGGATGGGAAGGGCAGAGTAGCGAAGGGTAAAGGACGGGCGAAGAGCAAGGGAGGAGACGGAGGAGAGAAGGAGAAGGGGGATGAGGGAGGGAAGGGTGTGGGGGAGACGGAAGAGGTGAAAGGTGGGGAGGAAGGGGAGGGAGAGGAGAGGAAGGAGGGAAAGGAGGGGGAGGGTGATACAGAGATGGTGGTGCAGAGAAGGGAGGAAGGAGAGCAGGGGGCTGGAGGCGAGGAGTTGGAGGAAGAGGACGAGGAGGACGCCGAGGGAGCAAAGGTGTGTGAGGTGGTGAGTGGTAGTGCGTGGTAATGAGTGGTAGTGCGTGGTAATGAGTGGTAGTGCGTGGTAATGAGTGGTAGTGCGTGGTAATGAGTGGTAGTGCGTGCTAGTGTGTGTTAGTGCATGCTAGTGTGTGCGTGTGCTTCTCGGTGTGTTGGTGTATCATGCCTTGCCTCCCCTGTTAACTCTGACAAAGACGTGTCAAAGAAGCACCGCCCTCCCAATGCAGGCAGGCCTGTCCCAACTCCCCCAACCACCACCCTCTCCCTCCCTCGCCCCACACGCACCCACCAGCCAATATTCATGATCAATAGAGGGACAGGGGCACCCCAAAAAGCTTATCATGGGCCCGAGGCGGGGTGCACGGTGGTGGTAGCAGTGGTGGCAGGGAAACAGCTCGTGGTGGCGAATGCGGGCGACTTGCGGTGTGTGGTGAGCCGCGGAGGTGAGGCGGTGGAGATGGCTCGAGACCACAAGCCCCTCTTCCTCCATCCCATACCTTCCCAATCCCCCCAACCACACCCCCCCCCCCCCCCCCATGCACACCCACCAGCCAATCTTTATGGTCAAGAAAATGACACCCCAGAAGGCCTATCGGGGCCCCGAGGCGGGGTGCACGGCGGTGGTAGCAGTGGTGGCGGGGAGGCAGCTGGTGGTGGCGAATGCGGGCGACTCGCGGTGTGTGGTGAGCCGGGGAGGAGAGGCGGTGGAGATGTCGCGAGATCACAAGCCCACCATGCCGGAGGAGCGCAGGAGAATTGAGCAGTCGGGGAAGTTCGTGTCGGACGGCCGGATAGACGGCTGCCTCAACCTCTCCCGTGCCCTAGGTAAACCCTTCCCACACGAGCTGGTTTTTGAGAATTCTCAAAAACCTCTCCCGTGCCCTAGGTAAACCCTTCCCACACGAGCTGGTTTTTGAGAATTCTCAAAAACCTCTCCCGTGCCCTAGGTAAACCCTTCCCACCCGAGCTGGTTTTTGAGAATTCTCAAAAACCTCTCCCGTGCCCTAGGTAAACCCTTCCCACACCGCCCTGCACGCCCCCCCTCCTCCCTCCCCGCCCTCTTCCCCTCCTCGTCCTCCCTTCGCTTACATCGAGCAGGCGCATTGAGCAGGCGGGGAATGTATAACCTATAAACACGGGTATGTGTGTGCGTGTGTCTGTGAATCTATGGGTGAGCAGGGGACATGGAGTACAAGCACAGGCCTGATCTACCTCCAGAGAAGCAGGCAGTCACGGCATTGCCTGAAGTCAAATCGGTAAACCCCTCCCAGCGCTTCCGCAGTAACGATCAACTCGTAACCCCCTGCTATCAAGTCAATTCTAGCTCAAATCATAGACACGAACTTCTTACTGAAAGCATTTTTTCCAGAGGCACATTTGGTAATTTCTCTACCAGAAATTACACTTACTATGCTCCTGATGGCTCCCCTTACCTGCGTTTCCCCCAATCCATGTCTCCCCATCCCTGCATCTCGTCCCATGCCTGTCGCCCCACAAATGTAACCCTTCCGCAATCCGCGTTTGTGGTTTCCATACCGCCCCGTTCCGTCATTGCAGGTTGATTTATCGGATAAAGACGAGTTCATTGTGCTTGCATGCGATGGCATCTGGTGAGTTTCTTTCCTTTACAGCCCAAGTCTCCCTTTCAGGGTTTTCCTCACACACCCACTCGGGCGTGTGCCAGCTCAAACGGTTAAGCCTCAGAGGTCCCGTTATGTCCAGTGCTCAATGCAATTTTCTTTCTCTCATCTATCCAACCACCCGCCGCCCGCCTGCCTGCCTGCTTGCCTGCCTGCCCGCCTGCCTACCCGCCTGCCCGCCCGCCTGCCTGCCCACCCGCATGTTGCTTGCGTGGCTTCCTGCTTGCAGGGACGTGATGTCAAGCCAAGCCGTGGTCACGTTTGTGCGATCAAGGCTGGCGAAAGAGGTGAGGGTGACGTGTGGAGGCGTGTGCAGGGAGGAGGAGGGAGGGAGACCCCAGGAACCTCACGTATAGTATCATTAAGACTCATGATTCATCATGCATTTGGTTCAATTCCTCTTGTGTTTGGTTTGGCCCATACACTCACCACCTAATCACTTGGTCTCTCATCACTCATGACTTCATCTCTCATCACTCATTGTGCCGGCTCTGCAAATCCTTTGCGCTTCCTTTCCTCTCTTTCCCTTCCAGGTTCCTCTAACCGATGTGTATGCACAGCTCATGGGCGCATGCATGATCTCATCTCCTCACAAAATCACCTTGCCTTGCCTCTTGACTTTGCCCCTCCCAGGTGCCCCTAACCAACATATGTGCACAGCTCATGGATGAATGCATCGCTAAGGATGCGCACTCATCGCCTCTCGGCCTGGACAACATGACAGTCATCATCGCACAGCTCAAACCCGCCATGTGGCAATCCCCTCCTTTGCCTCCCAAAGAATCCTGCGAGGCCTCTTTCACCTTTGACAAACCGACACATTAGTCTCAAGCGCGCACTCGTCTCGTCGCATCTAGGCCTGACAACATGGCAGTCATCATTTCCCAACTGGAACCCGCCATGTGGCAATCACCTCAGGTACCCAACACTGCGGCCTCCTCGCACTAGGCCTCAATCAAGCGGTCACTCTTTCATCGCATCTTAGCCCTGACAACATGACAGGCGTTCTTCTCACACTGCGAAAACCCGCCAAACCTGTCTGTTGACAATATCTGTAGCCTGTTATGTGGTAGAAAGCAGATATAAAGTGCTTTACCAAATGATGGTTCCAATAGTGTAGCTTTGCAATCTCTAGTAAGTTTCCTACTCCATCAGTTTTTGCTGTAAGGAACTGGGAACATCATTTTGCATTTAGTGCCACGAGTTATGGCAGTTTAAAACTGTGAATCGAGTTATTGTTGAAGCTGCAAGCATTTATCTGTACAACTAAACATACACACAGAGGCCATCTTGGATATACTCTGCTCCTCATAAGAGCCTCTTATCAACTCTTGGCGCACTTCTCTGTGTTACTGCAACAATTGTTACATGTTACATGTCACAGAGCTCAAATCAGGTTACCACCGGCTCCAGGCTCCAGCGCTTGTCGTGGCATCTGCTATTCTGGATATTTGATGTGTTATGCTCCGCTCCGCACTCCATGTACCATGGAGGTACATTGACTCATGGAGCATCAACTCCTGTCCCGTCATCAACTCATGTCTTGTGATCACCCAGTGCTCACACCACGTGATGGTCCAGCTCTTGTGTCGGGAGAATGCGAGGAAGGTGGGGAAGGCGAGGAAGGTGGGGAAGGTGGGGAAGGCGAGGAAGGTGGGGAAGGTGGGGAAGGCGAGGAAGGTGGGGAAGGTGGGGAAGGCGAGGAAGGTGAGGAAGGAGAGGACGGTGAAGAGGATTATTTTTAGGTGCCTCCAAAATGAGGAAGGTGAAGAGGAAGGTGAGGAGGAAGGTGAGGAGAAAGGCGAGGAGGAAGGTGAGGAGGAAGGTGAGGAGAAAGGTGAGGAGGAAGGTGAGGAGGAAGGTGAGGAGGAAGGTGAGGAGGAAGGTGAGGAGGAAGGTGAGGAGGAAGGTGAATGTGTTAATGATTTTCAGTGCTCACGTCAAGTGATGGTCCAGTTCTTGTACCGGAAGAATGCGAGGAAGGCGAAGAAGATTAGATGAGGAAGATGAGGAAGGTGAGATAAGGAAGATGAGGAAGGTGAGGAGGAAGGTGAAACTGTCAAGTGATGGTCCAATTCTTGTATCGGAAGAATGCGAGGAAGGCGAGGAAGATGAGGACGCCGCCCACACCCGAGTCAATGAGGATCCACTTGAGGGCCGACTGGTCCTCCTCCAACCCCAGCGGCACGTTCATCCCAAACGTGCCCGCTATCACCCCCCACAGCGCCACCACAAACCCTGCCAATGGATGGGAAGAAGTAGATAGGTGGGATTGCAGGGGGCAGCAGGAAACAGGTGTGGGGAGAGAAGCAGGGAGCGGTGAGTGTTTGCACAGGCCTGGGACTGTGCTTGAGTCAACATGCCCTTCCTGCACTGCCCACCCACCCTCCTCTCCAGTCCCAGAGGCAAGGGAGGCAAGGGAGGGAGAGTGGGTAGAGGGAAGCGGTGTGGGGAGAGGCAAGGGAGGGAGACTGTTTCACCTCAACCTGCTCACCTTGAGCTGCTCGTGTAGCACAGAGCGATACACACATCCCGTTTAAGCGGTGATGCCGAAACTCACCAGTGGACAGGAACCATACACCCATCAACAGAAACCAGACACTCAGCAGCAGCAGCAGCAGCAGCAGCAGCCACACACTCATTCACGCACCAGCGGTGGTCATGATGAGTTCGAATTGAATGAGCTGATTGCGAACATTATCCAGCTGAATATTAATGAAATCCTCCGTGTCATCAATGTATTGCGACAGCTGCGTCAGCTTGTTCAGCGTGCCATCGATCACCACAAAGTATGCCTCCAGCAGCATCTCTAGTTCCTCCACGTTCTCCACACTTGTCGCCGTGCTGTCACTGGCGCTGTGCGCGCCGCTCCAGAAGCTGATGGACGGCGGCGCTCCACCCAAGCCGGACGGCCGACCGTCCAGGTAGTGGCTTCCCTGTGGTTCAATGTGGGAAGGAGAGGGGAGGGGAAACGGGAAGAAGGAGGGGGTGGGGGTCAGCTTGTTCAGCGTGCCATCAATCACCACAAAGTATGCCTCCAGCAACATCTCTAGTTCCTCCACGTTCTCCACGCTCGTTGCCGTGCTGTCACTTGCACTGTGTGCACCGCTCCAGAAGCTGATCAATGAGGGCGCTGCACCCATCCCCGACGGCTGACCGTCCAAGCAGTGCCTTTCCTGGTAGTTGTTGAAGGGGGGTTGGTGGGAGGCGAGGCGAGGAGTCTGAGAAGTCGCAAAGGAATGTCCCTCCACAATAGGTTGTGAGTGTGGGGTTGGGTGATGGGAAGAAGAATGTGCCGTCAATGACAGCATAGTATGCCTCCAGCAGCATCTCTAGCTCCTCCACGCTTTCGACACTTGTCTCCGCTCCGTGCTGTCACTCGCACTGTGCGGGCCAGTCCAGAAGCTGATTGGCGGAGCAGGGCCCAAGCCTGACGGCCGGCCGTCCAAGTAGTGGCTTCCCTGTGATTCGTTGTAGGCGGGGGGAGGCTGGAAAAGGAAAGGTTTGATTTGATTTGATCTGTAGGCACACCCTCGGATTAACTACATGTGTGCCAAACTTACATGTTTGGTTGGAGAGCCAGCTGGCGACACAGGAGCAGAAATGGACGATCCGAACCCCCCAAGGGACTCCCTCGGAGTGTGCGAGTGGTCGCTGCCGTCATCCCGGTGCCCCCCTAATCGCTCGCTCTCACTGCGCTCCTCTGCCAGCAGGCGCTTCTGGGTGAGGTACATCTCCGCCATGTCCCCATCGTCGTCCATCAGCTGCTCTATCTCGTCCCTCACCTTCCAGAGGGGTTCACAGGCGGTGAGCAGGGGTGAGAAGGGGTGAGAGGGGGTGGGATGGGGTGACAATGCGCTTCTGGGTGAGGTACATCTCTGCCATGTCGCCATTGTCGTTCATCAGTTGCTCTTTCTCGTCCCTCACCTTCCAGAGGGGTTCACAGGCGGTGAGCAGGGGTGAGAGGGATTAAGAGGAGGTGATAAAGAGGACAGGGGGTGATAGGGGGTGGGAGGGGGTCACAATAAGCTTCTGGGTGAGGTACATCTCTGCCATGTCCCCGTCGTCGTCCATCAGCTGCTCTATCTCGTCCCTCACCTAAAGGCGGCGACAGGGGGTGGTCACAGGTGGTAGCAAAAGGAGTAACAGGGGGTAAGAAGGGGTGTGAACGGGTGAGAAGGGGTGAGAGAAATGACAGTGTGCTTCTGGGTGAGGTACATCTCTGCCATGTCCCCACCGTCGTCCATCAGTTGCTCTATCTCGTCCCTCACCTCCCCAGGGGGTGACAGGGGGTGGCCACAGATAGGTGGTAGTAACAGGGGTGACAGGGGGTGAGAAGGGGTGCGAAGGTGTGAGAAGGGGTGCGAAGGGGTGAGAAGGGGTGACAATGGGCTTCTGAGTGAGGCACATCTCTGTCGTGTCACCATCGTCGTCCATCAACTGCTCTATCTCGTCCCTCACCTTGCCTAGGTGGTGTAGGTGGGGCCAGCAGTGAGTGGCAGGGCAGGGAGGGATGACAGGGGTGGAGGTAACAAAGGGTAATTCGCATGCGCACAGGCAGGAGGAGTGCGAGAGAGTGCGAAAACAATACCTTCTGCACATGTGAATGTGGCAGAGGGGACGGGAAGGTGGAGGAGAGGGTGGGGGATGATACATTCTGCACTTTTGAGGCGCCTCAAAACATGAGACGACTTTTGAGGCGCCTCAAAACATGAGACGACTTTTGAGGCGCCTCAAAAGGGGACGGGAAAGTGGAGAGGGTGGGGGATGATACATTCTGCACGCGTGAATGTGGCATAGAGAGGGGCAGGGAGGGGGGAAAAGGTGATGCCTTCTGCACGCGTGAATGTGGCATAGAGAGGGGCGGGGAGGGGGAAAAAGGTGATACCTTCTGCACGCGTGAATGTGGCATAGAGAGGGGCGGGGAGGGGGAAAAAGGTGATACCTTCTGCACGCGACGAGTGAGGCCCAGCAGGTGCTAACGGCGAAAGATGCAGAGCACCAACTCGAGAGGGGAGGGAAGGAGGGGGGTCAGCCACACCTTTTTTGAGGCGTCTCAAAAAGAGGGGAGGGAAGGAGGGGGGTCAGCCACACCTTTTTTTAGGCGTCTCAAAAAGAGGGGAGGGAAGGAGGGGGGTCAGCCACGCCTTTTTTGAGGCGTCTCAAAAAGAGGGGAGGGAAGGAGGGGGGTCAGCCACACCTTTTTTGAGGCGTCTCAAAAAGAGGGGAGGGAAGGAGGGGGGTCAGCCACACCTTTTTTGCACACGGCGGGGTGAGGGAAAGGTGATACCTTTTGCTCACGCGTTGGGGAGAGCGGGAGGTGTTACCTTCTGCACGCGGCGAGTGAGGCCCAGCAGAATGCTCTTGATTCGCCGCACCAACTCGAGAGGGGAGAGGGCAGCAGGAGGGTGAGCAAAGCAATACCTTTTGCGCACACCCATTTGTGGGTGGAAAAAACCCTTTGCCCCAAGGCAGGGGAGAGGGCGGGGGATGGTACCTTTTGCACGCGGCGGGTGAGGCCCAGCAGGCTGCTCTTGATTCGCCGCACGAGCTCCAGGTTGGTCGTGCTGATCTGAAAGGCAAGACGCTCCAACAGCGGGTACGCCTCCTGTGCTAGCTCCTGCGCCTGTCGACGGGAAGTCAGGTGGGGGGGGTTGAGTTGCACACACGCACATTCACACACATACACACATATGCACAGACATGCACGCACGCTTCCTTATCCATTTTTCTTTCCAGGGAAGATGAGCGCAGCTGCGCTTGTGGTATTTTGATATTCTCAAGAATCTGACCTGTCGATCGAGGCCCGAGCAGGAAAGCTCGAGGGCAAGCTCAAGAGCCTTAAACTCGAAGGGCAAGTCGTCCTCCTCTGCTGTGCTGCCCGATCCGCTGAACATGTCCTCACTGCTGATCTCGCGTCTGGGAAAGGGGTGGAGAGGGGTGAAAAGCGGTGAGGAGAGGTGAAGAAAGAGAGGAGAGCTCTAAACTCGAAGGGCAAGTCGTCCTCCTCTGCTGTGCTGCCCGACCCGCTGAACATGTCCTCACTGCTGATCTCGCGTATGGAAAAGGTGGAGAACGGTGGAAAGCGGTGCAGAGCGGTGAAGCGCAGTGAAAAGCGGTGATGAGCGGTGAAGAGCAAAGGGGAGCAGGATAAGAGATAAAGGACACACACATTGAATCACACCAGCCCGCGCTGGTCTGCGCTGCTTACCAACCAAGCTGGCTAAGCATAGCGGAACACCACGTATGCTCTGCTCTGCTCTGCTCTCGCACGAGCATCCAGAAAGCCTGTCCTTCCTCACCTCCGAATAGATTTCTGAGGCGCCCCAAAAACCAGGTATGCACTGCTGTGCTCTACTCGCTTCTATCAGGTATGCACTGCTGTGCTCTACTCGCTTCTATCAGGTATGCACTGCTGTGCTCTACTCGCTTCTATCAGGTATGCACTGCTGTGCTCTACTCGCTTCTATCAGGTATGCACTGCTGTGCTCTACTCGCTTCTATCAGGTATGCACTGCTGTGCTCTACTCGCTTCTATCAGGTATGCACTGCTGTGCTCTCGCACGAGACGAGCATCCAGACCGCTTGTCCTTCCTCTCCTCTGAATGCTGGCGAGTGGAGCATCCGGTGTGAAGCCATTCTCGCCTTTTGAGGCGCCTCTTGGTAGCCGAAACAACTGCTTTACCAGAAACCACGCTCGCCCTCACCTCTGAATGCTGGCGTTATTCTCGCCTTTTGAGGGGCCTCTGAGTAGCCAAAAGAATCGCTCCACCAGAAACCACGCTCGCCCTCACCTCTGAATGCTGGCGTTATTCTCGCCTTTTGAGGGGCCTCTGAGTAGCCAAAAGAATCGCTCCACCAGAAACCACGCTCGCCCTCACCTCTGAATGCTGGCGTTATTCTCGCCTTTTGAGGGGCCTCTGAGTAGCCAAAAGAATCGCTCCACCAGAAACCACGCTCGCCCTCACCTCTGAATGCTGGCGTTATTCTCGCCTTTTGAGGGGCCTCTGAGTAGCCAAAAGAATCGCTCCACCAGAAACCACGCTCGCCCTCACCTCTGAATGCTGGCGTTATTCTCGCCTTTTGAGGGGCCTCTGAGTAGCCAAAAGAATCGCTCCACCAGAAACCACGCTCGCCCTCACCTCTGAATGCTGGCGTTATTCTCGCCTTTTGAGGGGCCTCTGAGTAGCCAAAAGAATCGCTCCACCAGAAACCACGCTCGCCCTCACCTCTGAATGCTGGCGTTATTCTCGCCTTTTGAGGGGCCTCTGAGTAGCCAAAAGAATCGCTCTACCAGAAACCACGCTCGCCCTCACCTCTGAATGCTGGCGTTTGGAGCATCTAGTGTGAAGCCATTCTCGCCTGGTCTCTCCGTTCTGGAGCACAGGGCAGAGCACGATGGATAGAGTGACATGATGAGTGTTTTGAGACGTCTCAAAAATTCTCTCCTGGTCTCTCCGTTCTGGAGCACAGGCAAGAGCAAGATAGATAGAGTGACATGATGAGGCGTGGAAGGTGGGGAGAAAGGGGAAGAGGCGGAGAAGGGAAAGGGGTGGGGTGGCGGGAAACGAGAGGAGCAGAGGAGAATGACTGAGCAGCAGACGCCGTTAGTCCAGACTGGGATTTAACAAGGTGACTACTGAGTCGACTCAAAAGTCACCTAGCAGCAGGCGCCATTTGTTCGTCCAGACTGGGATTTAAAGCTTCAAACAAGGGGCTGCAGCGGGATTGCAATGCCTCACACATAACAGGGCATGAATCCCATCCATCAACTCCTACCCCCCACCACCCCTAGAAACCCCTCCACACCCACCCCTCACCCCCACCCCATCCCTCACCCCCACCCCTCACCCTCACCCCACCCCTCACCTCCACCCCTCACCCCCACCCCTCACCCCCACCCCTCACCCCCACTCCTCAACCCCACTCTTCACCCCCACCCTTGTCCCCCACCCACGCTCATCCCCACTGCTCACCCCCACAGCACTCTGAAGTCAGAGGGGGCAGACATGCCCAGCAGCAGCCGCCGCTGCAGTGCTTGCTTGAACTGCGGGGAAGGGGGAGAAGGGGTGGAGAGGCACAGGAGGGGTGCTTGATGATGTCATAATTGCGAAGAAAGAAGCGAGAGGGGAGAGAGTTGAGTGGGCACGCCCGCCCGCCCAGCAGTAACCGCCGCTGCAGACGATTTTTGAGGCGCCTCAGAAGAAGCGAGAGGGGAGACAGTTGAGTGGGCACGCCCGCCCAGCAGTAACCGCCGCTGCAACGCCTGGTTGAACTGCGTGGTGAGGCAGTGAGCGAGTGGAGATGCAGGAGGGTGGATGGAACTGGAGACGTAGGAGGAGTGTGGATGTAAAATGGGCAAAAAGACGGCGACGGGGTAGCAAGTTGAGCAGGCATGCCTAGCAGCAGTTGCCACTGCAGGGCGTGCTAGAAGTGAGTGGTGGCGTGGGGGAGGAGTACTTCCTGAGACGTTTCAAAAAAGCAGTTGCCACTGCAGGGCGTGCTTGAAGTGAGTGGTGGCGTTGGGGGGGAAAGGGGGAGTACGAGTCAGGGCATGCCTACCTGCTGCACAGCAGCAGGGTCTGTAACGTTCAACAAAATCACCTCGTCCGCCATGATGATTCAGCCGGATGGATGCTCTCCGGATCCCCACTTACCACGACCGCACCCATGCTTCATTCAGATCCCCACGCAGCGCCTACCTGCTGCACAGCAGCAGGGTCTGTAACGTTCAACAGAAGCACCTCGTCCGCCGTGATGATGCAACGAATGCTCTCCAGATCCCCGTGACCCACCGCCACACCCATAACCGAGTCAAAACACCCTTGATCCACGATACAAAGCTCATACCTGCTGCACGGCAGGGTCAGTGACGTTGAGCAGGAGCACCTCGTCCGCAGTGATAATGCAGCGGATGCTCTCCACATTCACCACCACAATTCATTCTTGATTCATATCCCAACACACAGGCACCTACCTGCTGCACGGCAGGGTCGGTGACATTGAGTAGAAGCACCTCGTCGGCCGTGATGATGCAGCGGATGCTCTCCAGATTCACCACCATGGCGCGCTCTCGCCCCAGGATGGTGGACGGATACACAAACACCGGGTCCAGCAGCCGCAGGTCTCGCCCGGGGAGGTCACATCTGGCGGTGGAGAGAGATAGAAAGGTAAAAATCAGGGCGTTAGACGCGTCCACCTGTGTTCCTTCCCTCGCCCCAGGATGGTCGACGGATACACAAACACCGGGTCCAACAGCCGTAAGTCGCGGCCAAGCAAGTCTCATCTGGCAGGAGGGAGTGGTGGAGGGTAGTGGAAAGAATTCATGGGAAACTTGGGGAACAGGCGTCGGGCTCACCACCATGGCGCGCTCTCGCCCCAGGATGGTGGACGGGTACACAAACACTGGGTCCAGCAGCCGCAGGTCTCGCCCGGGCAAGTCGCATCTGACAGTGGAGAGCGGTGTAAAGAGGTGGAATGCGGTGGAAAATGAGAAGGGGTTCGGAGTCAGACGCCTCTACCAGTGACTTTTAGTGGTGGACGGATACACAAACACTGGGTCCAACAGCCGCTGGTCTCGTCCACGCAGGTCTTCCTCCCTCCCTGCAAATCCCCCTCTCTCCCTGTCTCACTTTCGTATCAGCGTGCCTTGCCCCTCCGTACCTTCCTCCCTTCCTCTCTTGTACCTCTCCTATCTTCCTCCCCTCCCTCCCCTTCATCCTCCCTCCCTCCCATCCTTACCGCCGCATCCGAGTGCCTTTGTCCACTTCCAGGATGCTCTCTACCCCCTCTGTACCTTCGTCCACTCCGAGCCTCCTTTTACCTCTTAATTTTCCTCCACTGCCTACCCGCAGCCCGCCATCCCTCCCTCACTCACTCACCGGCGCATCAGAGTGCCTTTGTCCACTTCCAGAATGCTAACTTCCCCCGACGGGTCGATTCTAATCCACGACCGCACGCCCTGCCCGCGCTTCTTCTTCGGCCCCACCGGCGGAGGAGGCGGAGCCCCCGCTCCCCCGAACCCTCCGCCTACTCCTCCCGCTCCCCCTAACCCTCCGCCTCCGCCTCCCCGCAGGCCGTTGGTGACCGCGCTAGTTCCCGTTCCCCCCGATGCTATCGAGCCGGACGCGGACGAGGCGGATCCTAGGTCCCTACTGGCGGCAGTGCCCGTAAAATGCGGCGTGAGTAGCGGCGAGAGGCGCGGGGATAATGGCGCGGCGGAGGGAGCTGGAGCAGGTGGGGGTTTTCCGCCTAGGCGGAACTGGGCTTGCGGAGGACCGGGGAGAGCGGCGGAGAGCCCGCCAACTGGGGGAGGCTGCGGGGGGATGATTGTGGGTACGGGGGGTCTGCGCGGAGGAAGCAGTGGCTTCTTCAAATCCGCCTTTAAATCGGCCATGGTGAGAGATGGTGTAGTTTGTGACACGAGGAAAAAAAGACCTTACTAGATGGCAGGAAGCTGACGGAGCAGGCAAGGAATAAACTAAGGATGACGTGAACCAACTACGGGCTGCTCCTACGCACCCTAGTCTCCAAGTCTGCCGTTGACATAGTTAGTCATGGTGATAAATGCATGTTCCAAAAGTTCTCATATATTTAGGTCTGCCGATGATGCGCCTGTCATGGCTTGGCAAACCCTTGCTACATGGCGAATTGAGATAGCCTATACCGTGTAATCCCCTTCAACAGTCCTAATGAGCAGCAAAGCTGTGTATAGTTCAATACAAGCTTCTAATTCTACTAGTTCTTCACGTGGGATTTGACGGGCGAAGGGCAGCTAAGGTCAAATAAGAGCTGGCGGCAGAGATGGCTTTAGTTAGGCGATAGGACTGGCTCCTGCTAGGTACTAAATGCTAACGCTATCGCTTCGGACAAGGTTGTGGTAACCAGCTAGCGAGATTGGAATCTCGCTGGGTGAAGGTGACGCGTGACTGCACACCATTCCACTCGTGGTTTCCTGTGTGCGAAAAACGTGCTGACGAATGAGAAGCGAGAGTGAAAACCACCTCAGTGTACAGTACGGCGTTATCCAATGTGATGTAACCTGGTCAGTTGGGTGTGTGCTTGACTGGGAAACACGTTTTTTCGACCTCGGGAACAGTTTCTTCGCCCCACCCGATTGGAGGAAACTGCTCAAACATGAGGATTCACAGCGCCGCCAAAAAGCGTTACGGTCAGCTTGTTGGAAATGAGGAACTGGGGCACTGAACTGACTGTAACACATCAGCTGCTGTGTTGATGCAGCAACTGCGACACGACTTCATTTGACGACTTAGCGACCAACCAGCAATTGTCAAGCCAGTGATTCCTCCAAACAACACGACTTAGGTTTCCATGACTAAGTTTCCATGACTAAATTTCAAGACTAAGATTGAGCTAAGACTTCTTTCCGATTCGTAGGTTTCTGGACTGTCTAAAACCACCTGAGTAACTTAACGACTTTGGTTGATAGTTGAGAGGAGGGAAGCCATCCCCAAGAACCAGAAACAGTCGACCAAGTTTTACGCTGAACCTCCCTCCATGCTGTGAGTCAGCCACGCCTTCTCCATCCTACTTCCCTTGCGTTTAGTGAGTACGTTGCTTCGGATAGTGTCGGGTAAAGAGGCTTCGAGTATCCTAGGGTTTACTTCCGCGACTTGATTGTCTGACGGTTAGAGCCCTATCGTGCCCACTTCGGCGGGTGAGGCCCGCTGACACAACACAGATGCAGGGTCAGGCTTCGGTGGAGGCCGCCTCTAGGAACCATGAGGTCCTGCAGGCGTTCAGGGTGCTCGACGTGAATGGCGATGGCAAAATCTCCCCTCAAGAGCTGAGGCAGGTTCTGGATCGCATGGGGTGGGCGGACGAGTCGGCCATGCAGGAGCTGATGGCGAAGTCGGACACCAACGGCGACGGACTGATTGACTTCGAGGAGTTCGTGCATTCGTCGCTTAACCACGCGGGTGCGGGCGCACGTGACGGCGGGGCAGGCGGTATTGTGGAGGAGGCGGAGGAAGGGGAGGAGGACCTGCGCAAGGCATTCGAGCTGTTCGACTGCGACGGCGACGGTAGCATCACCGCTGAGGAGCTCCAGAAAGCCATGCGCATGCTGAGCGGCGATAAGCTGAGCATGGAGGAATGTCGCACGATGATTGCACGGGTGGACGTGAACAGAGACGGCCGCGTTAGTTTCTCGGAGTTCAAGGGCATGATGGACGGTGTGCTTCGCTGACAACATCTCGCGTGTCAACTCATGCTAACTTAGTACCGCGCCACTAGTGGCGGTTGGGTGCTCTAACAACGGCTAGCATGGTAGGTTTATTCATTGACATTGCTACCTTTAGCTCATGAGGTGTATGAGAGATAGCTTCTACCAGTGCCGTAGACCCCCACATGAGCTCTGTGAGAGTAATATAATAAATGCATCTGGCTCTTGCATGATTGTTTTTGGGTTGATGATACCACAACACAAGGTGCTAGTTCGGTGGGTGGAAGGATGATAGACCTGGTATGTGTTGGGCTGAGAAAAAGCCCTTAGGATCTTTACAGGGATGAACTCTGGGTAGGACTGTAATAGCGGAAGCGTTTTAATGAAGAGATTGTGAACCACCTTGCGCTAGTATGTGAGGGCAAAGTAAGTTAATTAAAACAAAGAGATACAAGATTATATAAGAGTACAAGGAGTACGAAGAGGTACGGTTGTAACTACTTTACTGTTGCTGTTGCGGTTCGATACAGTGACGACTCGGGCAACTGCTCTGTAGCGAGTCAGTTGTGTGTCCTTGCTGTCGCGCTGTATTTGTCAGGTCAAAGGTCGCTGACCTTTGACTTTCGCGTAACCTCCAGCGGTGTCAAATATAATAGGCTATAGTGAGTAGCACTGTAGAGAGTACAACACTTTCTAGGTTTGCTATTTGTATCACTCCCTATCCTAGTTGATGCATTCCGTTGTTCGCTAACTTTGAGAAGCGGTTACTTCAACCTCCGAGGGTTGACTCGCTGGTGCCTCGATATGCTTTGCTTCGCTTGTGTCTTGGTGTTTCGACACGACAGAGGCGCTTAAGACCGATTGTTTCCAACACTCCCCTTTGCTTCTGGAGTGTCGCTGACGTGGCTCTGTCCAGTCAGCAGCATGCAGTATTCGAACTTCTGCTTTCCGAGCTTCTTGGTCAGGTAGTCAGCTGCCATCTCGGACGTGGGACAGTATGATAGCTCGAGCCTTCCTTTCTCGATCTCGTCCTTCACGAAGAAATATCGCAGGGCGATGTGTTTCGTCCTATTCGCGAAGCCGTTCTTGTTGGCGATGCGAATTGCCGACTGGTTGTCGCAGAACAGAGTGAAGCTGGGTAACTGAGCCAGCTTCGCTTCTTCCAGCAGTTCGCGAAGGTAAAGTCCTTCCTTGGTGGCTGAACAGAGTACAATATATTCTGCTTCGGCTGACGAGAGAGCTATTAATTCCTGCTTGCTCGACTGCCAAGAGATAGGTCCGATAGGTTCGAGGCGGTAGATGTAGCCAGTGCGAGAACGCCTGTTGTCGGAATCGCCAGCGTGATCGGCGTCGACGTAGCCGATTAACTTAGGCGGCGTAGTTGCGTTCTTGTAGTAAGTTAGACCGATCGTCGAGGTGCTAATAAGGTAATGAAGGGCGCGGTCGAGTTCTGCTAGATGTTCCGCTTCGGGCCTCTTGAGGTAGGTGGCGAGTTGGCTTGCAGAGTACGATAGGTCTGGGCGGCAGGTGACAGCTGCGAAGAGAAGGCAGCCCAGCTTTCTCTGGTAGTCGCGTATGCCGGCGGGCTTGAGTAGAGCGGAGCCTTCCTTGTTGTTTCCTGACGTGTAGCGGTACGGTGTAGAGATGATAGTTGGTGTAAGTGCGAAACGTTTGGCGATGGTGTCGGCGTATTTCGCGGCGCTGAGGTAGATGGCGTCTTCCTCTTCCCGGATGTTGAGCCCGAGGTACTGTGTAACGGTAGATGAGACTGTCAGTGTGAGATCCTGCTGTAGCTCCCCTTCGAACCAGGTGGTGACGCTGTCGGTTGAGCCGATGTAGAGGAGATCGTCTACGTAGACGATTAGTAGGATGTAATCTGCGCCTTTCGTGAGTCGGTACATCCCCTGATCGTGAGGTAATTGCTTGAAGCCGATGAGAATGAGGCGGGCGTGCAGGTACTGCTGCCATAGCCGCGGAGCTTGCTTGATCCCGTAGAGCGACTTCAGCAGCTGACAGACTTGGTTCGGCTCCCCGTTGGTACCGTGCGGTAGTTCCACGAAAATTTCTGCGTCAACGGGTGCGTAGAGAAATGCGTTCGCGACATCGATTTGCCGTAGCTTCTTTTTCTTCATGGCGGCGATCGCGAGAAGAATTCGGAGCGAAGTGTGTCGGCTGACCGGAGCGAAGGTTTCGGTGAAGTATTGCCCGTGTTCTTGGTCGAAGCCACGCACGACCCATCGATCCTTGAATTTGTCAATGGTGCCGTCGGCCTTCGTCTTCACGCGGAAGACCCATTTCCCGGTGAGAATGGTCTTGTTCCGTGCTACGCCGATGGGGACAATTTTCCACGTGTTGCGCTCCTCTAATGCCTTCAGTTCTTTGTCCATGGCTTCGCGCCATTTTTCCCTATGCTCCCCCCCCAGAGCCTGCTGAACCGTTGCAGGCTCCTTAGGAATGCCCGTGCCGTGGACTGCGGTGACGAGCCCGAGTATCTGGAGTCCGCTCTGTGTGTAGCGGGAAGTGACATGTCCGCGGGATAAGCAGCTTCGTCTCCCGCTTCTGGATCAGGTGCGAAGTTGGGTCCTATGCGTTCTGCTTCATCGGTGTTTACTTGTGCAGGTGTAACGTAACCGTTGTCAGCGAAATGGTAGTAGGTTTCGGCGTTGATGCTCTCGCGTGGGTTTTCGTCGTCCATTGGCACGTTGACGGAGCAGTAGGGGAGGGGTCCGGCTTCTTCCGAGGCTCCTTCCACGTTCTTCTCGTCCCAGTCAGCTTCGTCTTCTGCCGAAGCGAAGGCTCGGTCTCCACGGAAGCCACCTGTGGGGTCTCGGTTTTCGTCCAGGTTGGCAAGGTACGTCTGCAGTGTGAGTCGCTCGTAGAAAATGACATCACGTGCTGCCACTGTTTCTTTTGTCTCGACGTCGAAAATCTTCCATGCGTTGTAGTGTTTTTCGATGCCCAGGTGTAGTCCCCACTCTGCCCGTTGGGAGAATCGTCCTGCTCGTGCAGATGGAGGTCGGTACTGTACCATGCAGCCGAAGACTCGTAACAATTTTGTGCTGCCCAATTTTCCTGTCCACAGCAGATGCGGTGATGTGTTGTTCGGAAGTGACGACGAGGAAAGCAAGTTGTGCAGCATCACGGCGTGGTCCATTGCTTCTGGCCACTGGTGGGTGGGTAGCCGCATGCCACGTAACAGTTTCCGCATGGTGTTCTGGAGGGTCCTGTTCATCCTCTCTGCTACACCCTGCTGTTGATGGGCGTAGGGAAGGGAAATGAGTCGCTTGATTCCTCTTTCAGCCAAGTACTGCTTGAACCTCTGTGAGGTGTATTCTCCTCCCCCGTCTGACTGGAAGCTCTTTAGTTTGACGCCCGATTCCCTTTCTGCTACGGGGAGCCAGGCGACGAACGCTTCGAACGCCATATCCTTGCTTGGAAGATTCATGTGCCAAACATAACGTGTCACGGCGTCGATGAACGTGATGGTGTAGTTGTACGCGTTCTGCCCCGGCTCGCGATTGTATAGGATGTCGCTGTACACCTTCTCGAGTGGCGCGTAAGCTGGAGCGCTTGGGTTATGGTGAGACGCGAACGGTCGATGTGGTAAGTCAGCTTCAGGGCAGGTGAAGCACGTTCCGCGTACTCGTTGAAGTTCTCTTCCGTCGGTCAGTAGGAGTGAGTCCTTGTCGAGTACTCCTGCTCTTATCGTATTATTTAATACTGTGTTGCTTGGGTGTCCCATCCTTGGGTGCCAGGTGCTTTCGTCGGCGCGATGTCCGGGTGATCGTCGGTATAGTTCGGAGTTGGAGGAGAAGTTGGCGGTGAAGTTGGCGCTATGATGAACTTCTCGTGGTGCTGGGTGTAGTTGTTGCGCGGGTGTCGGTGGTGTGTCGTCGACGAGGAGCGGTGCTGTTGAAGGACCAGCGATTGGTGTTGACGTTCCTGCTGCTACCGCCGATGTTGTCTCTGCTGCTGCCGATGTTGTTTCTGCTGCTGTCGATGTTGTCTCCGCTGCTGCCGATGTTGTCTTTGCTGCTGCCGATGTTGTCTCTGCTGCTGCCGATGTTGTCTGAATTGTTGCTAACGCCCTTGTTCTTTCTGCCTCAGGGATGGTGTGTGAATACCAGAAGCCTTCTGGACTGAAGTCTGGATCAAGGTCTGGAGGGTGGGTCCAGGAGGTGAAAGTGACGATGCCGTCGCTGTCTGCTGTGCCGAGATCTGGGACAAAGTCAAGAACGAAGACGTTGTTTTTGAGGATCGCCTTTCCGATGTAGAGGCCGCCCTTCCCGTGGTACAGCTTGAATTCCTGGGTGGTGTTATCTGCCTCGAGGTGGATACCCTTCGCCATCAACTGACTGACGCTCAGTAAGTTGTAGCCGAGGCCTTCTGCGATTAGAACCTTAGACATTTGTAGAACGACATTTGTCTCTCGTGATTGAAGTTGTACCACGCCTTGTCGTCGTGTGCGCAGGTTTTGATTATTGGCGACGGTGATGACTACTTCGTGTTGAAGTTGATACTCTCGCTGCACGAAGCGTCCCGAAGAACACATGTGTTGTCCGCAGCAACTGTCCAAGAACCACGTGTCCTTCCCGGATGGCTCGCTCTGGGCGATGGCTGCGTACGTTGGATTTAGTTGAAGTGGCTCGCGGCGAGGTGTGGTGTTGTCGAGTTGTTCTTCCGGTGAGTAGTGTGGCGGTGACTCCGTGATGCAGGAATCGGTCAATTTTGCCATGCAACTGACGATACTCCTTGCTCCTTGTGCAGGTGGAGTTGTTGACGGTTGCGACTGACTCGTGGGGTTCGCCTGCGTCGATGCCACTTGGCTGCTGGAAGGTCGAAGCTGTCGTTGCGGTGGAGTTGACTGTTGTCGGTTCGGGCAGTGTGTGCGCGGGTGCCCTGACGTCTTGCAGATGTGGCAGAAAGGAGGTACGGACTTCGGCTGTTGTTGTTTGTAGTTGTTGTAGCGTCGCTGAGTGTGGAACGCAAATTCCGGTGCTGATATCTTCTTCTTGTGTCGTTCTTCTTGCAGGTCCATGTCTTGCTGCTCGGCATGGATTTCGGCGCAGAGTGCTGCTTCGGAGATTCTTCCGTGGGCTCGGAGAATGGCCTTTGTGGCGCGCCATTGAGGACCGAGGCCGCCGATGATGACTGTCACGAAGGCGTCTTCAGAAATCGACCCCCCGCATCGCAGAAGCTTGTCGCGCAACTCGCGACATCGACTGATATACGCCATTCCTTTCTCCGTTGGTTTCATTTGGACCGTTGTCAGTTGCGCCATTAACCGACTTTGACTTACGCTGTCTGTTGCTTGATACAGGCTCTTCAGGTGGTTGTACGCGAGCTCCGCGGAGTTGTCGTAACCCCGGTAAGACCGTATGTTCTGCTGTTGAGTTGGGGTGATGTTCCTTAGTAGAATCGTGTACGCCATCATCGACTGGTAGGTGTACTGCTGCTTCTCATACTGTGTGCCGTTCGTTGGATATGGCAGGGACCCGTCGAAGAAGCCAAGTATCTGCGCGCCTTCCATCATTAATTCGAATTCAAACGACCATGTGAAGAAATCCTTTCCATCGAAAGGCCTTGACGTCTGCATCTTCAGAACGTGCGCGAACTGCGACTGAACTTGCAGTGCGTCCAGTGACTTTTCTTGTCCAGGTGAGGGTTGCGGGTGTGGCATGAAGCTGATGGACCCGCGCTCGTACGGAGCAAAGGTAGGCTGCTGCTGTTGATTTCCTCGTGCGTATGATGAGCCGTCGAGACTCATGGGAGTTGCTCCGTTGTTGTTGCTGTTGTGTGACTGCGCAGGTGCCGATTGCTGGTGTTGCTCGTAGAAGGACATGAAGGAGAAAAATTTCTCCATCATGCTTTGGTCGAAGTCTGCAGGTTGATTCGCAGGAGTCTCGGTAGATGTTGCCCTGGGTCTTGTTGCCGTACCCTCCTCTGTCTGTAGGCCAGAGGCAGGAGGTGGAGTAGGAGTAGTGCCCTGGGAGCCGTTGGAGGAGCTCCTTTCCTTTTGTGTAGCCATGCTTGTTGATGCTGTTGGTATTTTAATAGAAGTCGAATTCTCCCTGACTGCTCTCATACCATGTTGGGCTGAGAAAAAGCCCTTAGGATCTTTACAGGGATGAACTCTGGGTAGGACTGTAATAGCGGAAGCGTTTTAATGAAGAGATTGTGAACCACCTTGCGCTAGTATGTGAGGGCAAAGTAAGTTAATTAAAACAAAGAGATACAAGATTATATAAGAGTACAAGGAATACGAAGAGGTACGGTTGTAACTACTTTACTGTTGCTGTTGCGGTTCGATACAGTGACGACTCGGGCAACTGCTCTGTAGCGAGTCAGTTGTGTGTCCTTGCTGTCGCGCTGTATTTGTCAGGTCAAAGGTCGCTGACCTTTGACTTTCGCGTAACCTCCAGCGGTTACTTCAACCTCCGAGGGTTGACTCGCTGGTGCCTCGATATGCTTTGCTTCGCTTGTGTCTTGGTGTTTCGACACGACAGAGGCGCTTAAGACCGATTGTTTCCAACAGTATGTATGTTAGCATAAGTGGCAGTGTTGTTAATCACCCACATGAAAAGGTTGGATAAGCAATTACCAGTACTGTTCAACCGGTAGCATGATACGGTAAGCAACCAGCGTGAGGCTCTTCTTCACACTACGGAGCCACTGCAAATACAGCTGTACAGTGTTCACTACCATAGGGTAAGAACTGTAAACGAACATGAGTTGCCCTGGATTTATCAACCAGTCCTTGCCCTAGATATACCAGCCAAGCCAATCCTCTCTTTGCTGGCTACTCTTCCCCCTCGCTCACCATTGTCCTTCCCGCCTTCCACCGTGCCCTGCTCACCCTCCCCCACATGTGCCATGATCCACTTGAGCCCCTCGCCCATGATGCCTGGCAGGCATGTGGTCACTGATGCACCACGGCGACACCACTATCTCACGCACAGCCTCCTGCTGCACCTCCACCACATGCCACCGCATGTGACCTCCCGCCACCTCCTCGTGCGATGGGAACACGCCAAACTGCCTCTGTGCATGCACTTCCTTGCGATCATCTTATGTTTTATAAGGTGTTTATTCCTGCATCTCAACCAAACATCTTCGCATATGCAGCCTTCTCCTTTTCCTTCCTTGTTGCCAGCTGCAAGGAAAGAGGGACGTCAAACATGAGTTGAAATGTTCATTTCAACAATTAGGCTCGCTATACTGCAATCACTCACCTTCTTTTTGGCAGCCGCAAGCTCTCTTTTGATTCCACCTGCACATAAATAAGAAAGCACAACAAGATCACTTACAACCGCAGAGCGATGGAGAAGATGGCGTTACAGCTATGCCAACAATCCCTAACAATCGAAGGTGATAAGGTGAGTCTCATTCAACATACCATCGTTCGGTTCGACCTTCAGGGCCTGTGTCAGGTCAGCAATTGCTGGTTCCAACTCATTGCGACCCAAATACGCCTGCCAAGCCACAAATCAAACAGGAATGTTCATGCCTAAGCACACATGGATTCTCTTCAAGCGAACAAGAGATTCCCATGCTTCACGATATACCCTGTTGAGAGGAACAGTGGCCTAGAGAAAGACACATTCGTACCTGGGCGCGTCTGAAGAGCGCTTTGGCGTTGTTCTCATTTCTCGACAGCACCGAGCTGCTGTCCTCGATCGCACCGTCAAAGTCCCCGCGCTTCAGCTTGCACGCCTGGGAGAAAGAAAAATCACCCAGCATGCCACATCACAATGTGTGGGGTCGTTCATTTCTAAGGAGCCTCATGTGCAGCCATAATGCTGATACTTGAATTGCTTGCCCAAAAAAGGAACACCCAGCAAGCCCCCATACTGCAACATGTGAGAAAATATTTAATCAATCAGTGGTACAAAGAGACACTCAGCCTTACAAAAAGTGAGAGGAGCAATACACCATAGCCCCTCACCACATTGTGGCACAGCTCACTTCCCCTCACACACACCACAGCTCCTCACCACCCTTCACCTTCACAACACCCCACTGCCCGCCCCTCACCGCGTAGTTGTTTAGAAGGGCATCTCGTATGGTGTGGAGCTCCTCTAGGGTCTTTGATGGCCGTCAGGAGGACAGGGGACATTACACCTCACACAACCCACTCCCCACACCCCACTGCCCGCCCCTCACCGCGTAGTTGTTAAGAAGGGCGTCTCGTATGGTGTGGAGCTCCTCTAGGGTCTCTGAGGGCAGTCAGGAAGAAACGGAAAGCATGAATTGGTGAAGGCAAGGAGATGCGACCATTGTACGATGAGAGAAGAGATGGGCAATGGGAGCACACCACCACGGCATTGCAGTCAGGCTGCTAGAGACATCAGCTCATGTCAGCACACAGCACAAGCGTACCTCCTGGGATGTCCTTCATGTCCCATGCCTTGTCCAAATACACCATGGCCTTGCGGTATCGCCGGAATGCCATGCGGTAGTCACCATTCTGCCCAGGGGGCGGATGTGAGGGAAGTCAATGTGTGCGAGAGAGCTTCAGATTCTGCTTTGAAAGGCCTGACCACCTGCGTCGCCCCAGAATATTAAGCCCCTCATCAGAAATCACGCCGCATCCTTTCCACACCTGAAACGGGTGACCAGTCGCTTACCTTGCCTTCAAGTGCTCCGGCTCTCACCTTGGAACGCTTCGCCTCTCACCTTGAAGTGCGTGGTGCCAAGGTCCTTAATTGATTTGACTGCTTCCACCCACCACTGCCACTCCGTAGGCCTCTCATCCAAGTCACTGGGCCAGTCGGGGTATTTGTCTCCATCCTGCCATGTGCACACCGATGGACAGACACAGGAAAAAGGGGCTGCTGGTACTGAGTACAAGGGCACGGGGGAAACGAGGCACCCCACCAACTTGCCGTGCCTGCAGATTGATCCTCACATTGCATCACAGAGTCTGCCGTATCCTTCTGCCTCCCCACTTCTCTCTCAGTTCCCACTCACAGGGTGGTTCATGGTGCCAACGTCCTCCCCCTCTGCCAGCTCGCCGCAGTCGTCGATAACAACATCGCTCAACGGACGATCTGAACCGTCCGTGGGTGTGATCTCCACCGCTCGAAGCACCTGATTGATCAAATAGAAAAGAGCGGAGATAAGCGGACTAGCTCGCGTTCTAGTTCATAGCGAAGAGGCAATCACAATGACTTTCGTGCAGTTCCGACTGCGGATGTCTTTGCATTCGTGCAACGAACACAACCAACCACTGGCAAGCATGCAATGGTTCGAATTCAGTCTCTGTCATTCTCCAGCCTGCCCTCCTGCTTGTATGGCCGTTTGATCCAGATCGAAGTGCTTCCGATGAAACTTCACGTGAAGTCAAAGTTGACGTCAATCTGAAATAGGTCAGGTAAACCTGAAAGCATCTTTGTCCATACCCTTCACAAACAAATATCACTCTGAAACTTGTTCCTCACCTGTCCTCCTCTCAGCACCCGCCCAAACACGCAGTGCTTGCCATCGAGATGTGGCGTGGGCCCATATGTGATGAAGAACTGACTGCCGTTCGTGCCAGGCCCGCTGTTCACCATGGATAGAATCCCACGCTTATCATGCTGCGGTGGAGTGCGGTCAGGATGGGAAAGGTGTGGGTTTGCTTAGCTCATTGATAAGAAGCGGCGCCTTATCAGGAAATGGAATGATGATGAGGGATGGATGGAGTGGAAAGCTGAATTTCGAGCCAGCTCGTTGATATGTTTCAACCACCGCCTCTAAGTTGATGCTTTAAGCATAAGTGCTTTTGGAACCAAAGCCAGAAGAAAAACTCATGGTGACTGAAGATGATCATCCTTTCGAAGAATTGAAAGAGCTGTCTTTTGAGTCGACTCAGAAGAAAAACTAATGGTGACTGAAGATGATCATCCTTCCGAAGAATTGAAAGCATCATACCTTGAGCGCAAGACCCCCAGGCTCGTCCTCGAACTTCTCCCCGTAAATTGACTCGCCTCCTGTGCCGTTCTTGTTGGAAAAGTCCCCCCCTTGCATCATGAAACCCTTGATGACTCGATGGAAGGGGCAGCCCTGGAATTGTTTAAAACGGGAGAGGTAGAGGAGAGAGGAGAGAGGAGAGAGGAGAGAGGTGAGAGGGGAGAGGGGGAGAAGAGGCGTATAATGGCGGGCCACTCGAGTGCAATGAGACGCTATAACGCCATTGTCATAAATCCAGAGTTACTCATAACGTGCAGTGGAATATCACGCTAATTGTTACAAATCTATCGATGGATGAGAGACCTTCACGTATTGAAATGAAACGGATCAAACGCCAATCCCCTTCTCCCCCGTGCAAAGCGCGCGGAAATTCTCCACCGTCTTGGGCGCGGCGTCTTTGAAGAGCTCCATCACCACGCGACCCTCCGGCTCTCCCGCGATCGACACGTCGAAGTACACGCGCGGATTCGCCATGGTCGCAGGATCGGAACGGAACGAGACGCACAGACGATCGACGAGTTCTAGTTGATGATTAGTAATTAACCACCTCGCAGATCTAGTAGTTGGTAAGACTAAGGATAACCAGCGATCAGAGAATGTTGGGGAAGTTGAAAGTACCGTCGTTTCTGATCATCAGCCACACATGTTTCTGGAATTCTGGCTGCTCAGTTCCGTTCCATACCCTGTAAATTTAGCGGGAAATGGTTTGACGGTGGATTTTGGCTGTTGGAGATTCGAGAAGCTTCACCGCGACGCTTCTGAGCGTCAACAAATGCTGAAGCGAAGAGACGTCCGATGTTGTAACCATCACACTGAACTTCGTCCTCCAGTAAAAACAATTTCTGGCGATCCCAGCGACCTCGAACTTTGTCAATCCGATCTGAGAAGCTTTCATGGGGTGATCAGGTTCAGTAGCTGTTTGCGTGGCGATTTTAGGAGCTTTGTACGAAGATAGATGACCCCTCATTAGTTAGTCTCAGCACGTGGCTGTAGCGAATCCTGCTTCGGGATTAGTGAAAGATGGTATCACGATTCAGCGCCTCTGTCCGTACCACTTTAGAACCACCCGTTTTGTTCAATCCGATACACACTACAGCTCCCACAGTCGTCAGAACCGCTTCTCACCGCATAGCGCTGTGCGATCGCGAATCAAACGCACCATTGCATCATCTCCCGGCCATACGCGCCTTTACACCTGTTACAGTCACGCCAGTCACAGTCGCACCAGCACATACTGGCCTCTCTTATCAGACAGAAACCCTGTCAGTACGTTGCCGTGCATCACAGTCGATAAAGGCATTCACCGGGTCGCAACGGTCAAGTTCAATCATCAGAGAAAATCAGCACGCAATGGCGGGTTCCAGGCCAGCAGCTGGGTCCTCTATGGGGTTTTTGAGCCATGATGGCCAAGACAAGGAAGCTCGAGGCAAGGAAGCAGATGACAGACAAGCGGATGAGCCGGAGGTGACCTTCTACACGCACGGCCTGTGTCCGTACGCGCAGCGAGTGGCGATCACGCTGGAGGCCAAGGGTACGAGCCACGCCCTTCTGACATTCCTGTTTCTCTGTCTTCCAACGGCGTTCGTTCCGACATTTTGACTGCTCCTGCTGTCCGTTTCTTAGGTGCCAGGGAAAATGTCTGCTTTGGCGCCTGAAACATGTGATTGTTTTTCTGTTCTGATCTGAACCAGGCGTGGATTACAAGAGCGTTCACATAGACCTCTCCAACAAGCCTTCATGGTACTTGCTTACAACAACCCCTCATTGCTGTTCGCTTCACTCTCCTGCTGCCTTTTACCCCTCTCAATCGTCTCATATTTTCCTTCCAACGTCCACGGGCACTATGGACACATGCAGGTACTTTTCGGTGAATCCGCGTGGTCTGGTGCCAGCTGTGAATGTGAGCGGCCAAGTGGTCACAGAGAGCATTGACATCTGCAGGTTTCTGGACGAGCGCTATCCCAAAGTGCCTCTGGTGCCATCAGAGGCAGAGAGCAGCAGAGCCATGAACCGCCTTGTCAGCAAGGCCGACTCTATCATTCATGCTGTGAGTCTGTTTAATAGATTTTGGATCTAAGGTACAAGCAAGCACGTCGTTACTCTCACTCCCAGCTGCGTTCAGCTTCCTTATTTCCGCCTCTTGCAGTCGCCTCTGCCTCGACTTTCCAGCCATTCTCCAACCTGTCATTTTCTGCAGTCAGCGGCCCCCACATACACAAGCCCATTCACAAAGCACCAGGCATGTCCCTACCAATCTCTCCGGGGCCCTCCCTCCCTTCCCTGTCCCAGGGCCTTGCAATGGTGGCAGGGTCTGAGCGCCTGTGAGCTACTGACACCAAATAACCCTCCCCCCCCCTGCTCCACCCCCCTTTCCCCCTCCCTTCTCCACCCCCAGCAATGGTTGCTGAGTCTGAGCGGTTGTGAGCTATTGACACCAACTAACCTCCCCCCCCCTTCTCCACCCCCCTTTCCACACCTCCAGGGCCTAGCAATGGTTGCTGGGTCTGAGCGGTTGTGGGCCATTGACACCAAGAGGGGCAGCAGAGGAGGGGGGAATGCGCGGGTGCAAGGCGAGTGGAGGAAAGCTCTAGACTCACTGGAAGAGGCTGTGCGCCAATCACAGGGGCCATTCTTGACGGGTGCAGACCTCTCTCTGGTACGTGACATGATACTGCTTTGAATGGGATTGTATGGTTGGCTGCTTCTCATTCTCGTGTTACAAAGAAGCACCTGCGTGTAAAACATGTTGATATGTGTTGTCTCGCACAGCCTGGGCACACCTGCACCTGTCTCCACTCTGTCTCCACTCTACTTGACTCCACTCCACTTGACTCCACCTGTTTCCACTTCACCCATATATCATGGCAGGCTGACGTGGTGCTCTTCCCCTTCCTCGCTCGCTTCCAGCTAGTGGCAGAGGGAATACGAGGCGAACCCTTCTCTCCTGACCACCCACTCGTCACCCAATGGATGGCCGCCATGTGGCAGCAGCCATCTGCCAGGCGCACGTTTCCTGACAGGGACCGGTTCCTGCTGGCGCTGAAGCAGTATGCCAGCCTTGATTACTTTGATTTCCACTCCGCTTCACTGGAATTCCCAGTTCCCAAGTACTGGGTGTAGGGCGACACTGTAGGGTGAAGTTCCAAGCAAGTATTAGTCACTGCTATCAGCAGCATGCTTGAGTGCTCCCAAAATCGATATTTATGGGACAATATTCCTGATGGAAGCTGGTTGGGTTCATGAAAGAAGTACGGTACTAGTCATCCTTAGCCCTGCCGCCTACGTGATTGATCTTCTGTGCGTTGTACATCTGAGCAACCTGTAGGTACGGGGAAGACACAGGACTGCACGTGTCAGATACACACCCGGACATAACAGCAGACACACACAGCCATACCTGACCTCCTTAACTTGCTTTTGAAGTGCCTAAGGAACAATCCGGAACACACTGGCAGCACACAGCGAGTTTCAAGACTTGGTGCTCAACACTCTAGTACGTCTCAGCCAGGCTAATCCGCCTAAGATGAGGTAGCTGCTCGCTACCCGCACAGAGCGCCTGTGATGCTCACCTGTCCACCCAAAAGTGGGTATCACAGGCGCTCTGTGTGGGTCACTCATTCCCACTCTCCAACCCCTCTGCTTCCCTCCCCTTGTGCTCACCTGTTCACAGGAAGTAGCATGCTATGCACTCGTATCATCTCGCAGCCATACTCTCGTCCCTCACTCTTCAACCCCTCTCCCCTCCTCCCCTCTCCCCTCCTCTCGTCCCTCACTCTTCAACCCCTCTCCCCTCCTCCCCTCTCCCCTCCTCCCCTCTCCCCTCCTCCTCTCTCCCCTCCCAACCTCGTGCTCACCTGCTCACTGGAAGTGGCCTGCTCCGCGCTCTTATCATTGCACAGCCATACTCTCTCCCTGCCCCCCCCTCCCCCCTTTCCCCCCACTGCTCACCTGTTCACTGGAAGTGGCCTGCTCCGCGCTCTTATCATCTCGCAGCCTCAGGAACCGGGGGAAGCGCAGAGCGATCCCTTTCGTCTCATTCACGTGCCCAGCTGCTGCCCGGTGCACGGGACTGATGGACAAATCCGCCGCCCGCACCTCCCACACCTCTGACGGCTCGAACCACACTTCGACTCCTAGCGTCTCCCCGTAGCGGTAGTAGGGCTGGGCACAGGGGGGGCAGAGGAACAAGCGAAATGCATAGGAGGAATGGATTGGGACTAAGGGGGCTGTAGCTGTGAGCCACAAGTGGACTCCTAGCGTCTCCCCATAGCGGTAGTAGGGCTGGGCATGGGGGTCAAACAAACACGATATGCCACTCAGACTGCATCAAGTGAGACAGGTGTACCACATCACATCCCACCACATCCAACCACACCTCACGCCACCCCACCATACCCCGCGCCACCCCACCCCACCAGGGCACTCACAGGCGGCTTGTCAATGACTCGCTTGCGCAGCGATGCGGATCGCTCCTCCAGCGCTGCTTCGGAGAAGCCGGTGCCGATCTTGCAGATGGACTGGTACTCCTCTGTGTCGGGGTCGTAGCACGCCAGGAGGAACGCCCCGAAGACACCTGTTGAGGAGGACATGATAGATGTTGTTACACAAGGGAACGGAATCTGAATGTCGTCTTGCAGATGGACTGGTACTCCTCCGTGTCCGGGTCGTAGCACGCCAGGAGGAACGCGCCAAACACACCTGTTGAATTAAATGCAATCACGGCAGAAATAGCACGACTTCCAAGGGTTTTTTGCACATTAACATACGGCTTTGCTGTGAGACAGAGACAAAGGGGTTGCACAGAGAAACCGTTGTTCCAGCCCCAAGAGCAGTGGATTTCGTTCAGCAGCAAGCCTTCCAGGCCCAACCCTCCATCATCCCAATGTGTCACCTGCAAACCCATCCCATGACCCAGTGTCCTACGCTACTCTCCACCCCTCCCCTCACCTGTTCGCTTGCCACGGCCGTGGAACGCCCCGATGGGCACAAGGTCCAAGGAGTCGCCCAGCCTGATTGGGAGGCAGCAGAGGCATGACGGGGGGGGGGGGGGCGGGGAGCAGGGTGAAACGGGGTGAGGGTAGTGGGGGATCATGAGGCACCTCGTGGAACGCCCTGATGAGCACAAGGTCCAAGGAGTCGCCCAGCCTGATTGGGAGGGAGTTTGGGAGAAGAGAGAACAGAGTGACGAGAGTGAGGGAGACGAGAGAACAGAGTGAAGAGAGTGAGGGATCAGAGAGAACAGAGTGACAAGAGTGAGGGAGCAGAGAGAACAGAGTGACGAGAGTGAGGGAGAAGAGAGAACAGAGTGAACAGAGTGAGGGAGCAGAGAGAAATGAGTGAAGAGAGTGAGGGAGCAGAGAGAACAGAGTGAACAGAGTTACGGAGCAGAGAGAACAGAGTGAACAGAGTGAGGGAGAAGGGCGAGCGTGAAAACAGAGTGAGGGAGAAGAGTCAGTGTGAGAACGGAAGGGAAGAGTGAGGGTGAGAACGGAGCGAGGAAGAAGAGTCAGAGAGAGAAGAGTCACAATCTAGCCAGACCCCACCCTTCCACGTAGTCCTTTCTTGAGCTACACGCATCCTCATCATCAGCACTGGAAGACCCACCCCAACCGTCCTTTGCTTCCTGCCCTGCCCCGTCCCCCCCTTCCATGAAGTCCTTCTTGTGCTCGAGCCAGTCGTTGCTCCTCTTGGCCGGCTCATACGTCAACCAAGCACCACACACAAGCACTCACAGTCCTACCCCCCGCACCACACACAAGCACTCACAGTCCTACCCACCGCACCACCACACGCACGACCCATCCCCACCACACCACCACACGCACGACCCATCCCCACCACACCACCACACACACGACCCATCCCCACCACACCACCACACACACGACCCATCCCCACCACACCACCACACACACGACCCATCCCCACCGCACCCTTCCATGTAGTCCTTCTTGAGCTTGAGCCAGTTGTTGCTCCTCTTGGCCGGCTCGTATGTGGCATCCACGTCCAGTGTCTTCACCATGGCGCCCTCGCAGCTGCCACAGGGGAAGAGAAAGGGGAGCGGGAAGGGGGAGGGGGAGGTAAGCGGCACGGAGACAAGTCGCCATGCACAAGGAGGAACAGCTCGTATGGAAGCAGGGGAAAGCGGGAAGAGGAAAAAGGGAGAGGAAGGGGAAAGGGAGGTGGGGGAGGAAGGGAGTGGATTGAAAATTATGGCCTGCAAAATCGAGGGCACAAGCTCAGCTGCCTCCACAACCAGCGGCTTCACTGTCCCGCCCTCTCCCCTTTAAACCCCTCTAATCCCAGCAGCACCCCACCTGTGGTTGACAGCGTCGTCAAAGAACGCCTGCAGCTCCTCCTCCTTGCTGGTCGTGATGGCCGTCGCGAACTGGAACTCGCCCTTGGCCGCCTCAAACGACTCCAGCAGCAGCTGCATGGGGGGAGAGAAGCGAGGAGACGTCACGAGTACAGGAGAACACGGAGAGCAGGCTTCATTCAAGGGCTTCAAACGACCTTGCTCAAGTCAAACGAAACTGAGACTCGCCCTTGACCGGCTCAAACGACTCCAGCAGCAGCTGAAGCAACACGGCGAAGGAAGGAAGGGTGAGTCAGGAGAGGAGCACGATCTTTGTTCCATTGGCCTGGAGAGGAGCACGATCTTTGTTCCATTCGCCTGGAGAGGAGCACGATCTTTGTTCCATTGGCCTGGAGAGGAGCACGATCTTTGTTCCATTGGCCTGGAGTTTTCTTCAGATTCTCTCAAAACGCGCTCACAAAGGCCTCGAGTGCCGTGTTGTTGCAATGCCTCAAGTAGTGAGAGAACGCCGTGGTAACGGTAACGGACCCAAACGAAACAAAAGCAGCAATCCTGGACTACCCTGCCCTGCCGTGCCCTGCCGTGTCGTGCCTCACCTCTCTCCGCCGCATGAGCTTCTCTGTGAGCAGCTGCTGGCGAGATGACTTTTGAGTCGACTCAAAAGTCATCCTGTCCTGCCGTGCCTCACCTCTCTGTTGTGCCTCACCTCTCTGTTGTGCCTCACCTCTCTGTTGTGCCTCACCTCTCTGGCGTGCCTCACCTCTCTCCGCCGCACGAGCTTCTCTGTGAGCAGCTGCTGGCCGTTGAGGTAGAGCAGATCGAAGGCAAACATGCACACCTGGTGTGGGAGAAGATGGGGAGGGGGAGAAGGGGAGGAGGACTGAGATGCCTCAGAAATGCCTCTTTAGCTGGTCATCGTTGAGGTAGAGCAGATCAAATGCGAACATGCACACCTGGTGTGGGAGAAGATGGGGAGGGGGAGAAGGGGAGGAGGACTGAGATGCCTCAGAAATGCCTCTTTAGCTGGTCATCGTTGAGGTAGAGCAGATCAAATGCGAACATGCACACCTGGTGTGGGAGAAGATGGGGAGGGGGAGAAGGGGAGGAGGACTGAGATGCCTCAGAAATGCCTCTTTAGCTGGTCATCGTTGAGGTAGAGCAGATCAAATGCGAACATGCACACCTGGTGTGGGAGAAGATGGGGAGGGGGAGAAGAAGAGGAGGACTGAGATGCCTCAGAAATGCCTCTTTAGCTGGTCATCGTTGAGGTAGAGCAGATCAAATGCGAACATGCACACCTGGTGTGGGAGAAGATGGGGAGGGGAAGAGGGGAGGGAGCAGAGTGAGTGCGGCCAAGAACAGAAAGATCATTTGAGCAGGTATAATCGGAGCACACACACACACACACACACACACACACACACACACACATCGCACCCACCCACCTGCACTTTAATGTCGCTCATGATGACGCCCTTCCGCGCCCGCGTGCTGAGCACCTGGAAGGGCAGAATCTTGTCGCTCTCCCTGTCGTACGCCACTGCTTCTGCATCCAATACAAACGTCTGCACGTGACTTTTCTTGTGCCTGCAAGTAAGGAAGAGGGGAAACAGAGGAGAACTAAGCAACCGGAACGGCAGAATCTTGTCTCTCCTCCTGTCATACGCCACTGCCCTCTGCATCCAACACAAACGTGGGCCTTCTTGTGCCTGCACATGGGGGAGAGGGGAATTCGGGGAGAGCGAATTTCGGGTTCTGAGACGTGAGCACCTGGAAGGGCAGGATCTTGTCGCTCTCCCTGTCATGTGCCACTGCCTCCGCATCCAACACAAATGTCTTAACGTGGTCTTTCTTTCTTGTGCCTGCGAGTGCGGGAATGCGAGGTGACTGGTCTATCCCTGTTGTGTGCCACTGCCTCTGCACCCAGCTTCTGCCTCTGCCAAACTTGTGCACATGGGCCTTCTTGTGCCTGCGAGTGCGGGAATGCGAGGTGACTGGGCTATCCCTGTTGTATGCCACTACCTCTGCACCCAGCACAAACTTGTGCACATGGGCCTTCTTGTGCCTGCGAGTGTGGGAGGGGCCGTGGGGAGGAAGGGACTTGGTGAAGGGGAGGGTTTTGAGACGCCTCTATACTGCGTCCAGCACAAACATCTCCACTTGGTCCTAGTTGTGCCTGTGAGTTAGGGAGCAAGTGCGGGGCGAGTTTCCAGTCAACTCAAGAGTCACTGCGACTCCCTGCCGTACGCCACAGCCACCCTGTCGCTCTCCCTGTCGTACACCACTGCCTCTACATCCAGCACAAAGGTCTTCACGTAAACCTTCTTGCGCATGCCAGTAAGGGAGAGGGGAAACGGGGGAGAAGAGGGGTTTGAGACGTGATCACCTGCACGAGAGGGCGATTAGTTAACCTTCTTGGAACCTCTCAACACCCAACTGATTACGAGCTGTACCGTTTCTTTCGTGCTCCGACAGAGAAAGAAAAACACACAAACACACACACACACACACACACACACACACACACGCACACACACACACACACGGACACACACGCACACACCCACACACACACACACCCTTACTGACTGCGTGCTTGACCGACTTACTTCTGAACAGCCTGTACGAGGTCGGGGAACTTGCCAGTGGTGCACTCCGCATTGCGGCTGTAGATCTGCACTGTGCCGTCCGCTAGCCCATGCACCTGCCAGGGACGTGGGGCATGAGAGCATTGATGTTGGTTGGCATGGGCTGGGCCATGGGGTGACGTTTGCATCGGGCATGGGTGGGCAGCAAGGGAGATGGAAATTTGTATGAGACCCCTCCCATCCAGATTTTACTACCATGAGAACAGGACCCCAGCAGCTCACTCTCACCTGTGTTCTCACTCCATCGTACTCCAACTCGCATGTGAACGTAAGCGCCTGCAGCTAGTCCAATATCTCCAATACGCCCCTGGAGCCCCCTCTTCACATCTTTACTAGAATCCCACGCGCCTAAACGCACCGTCCTCGTGTTGTTTTGAGACGTCTCAGAACAACACTTTTGAGACGTCTCAATACGCCCCTGGAGCCCCCTCTTCACATCTTTACTAGAATCCCACGCGCCTAAACGCACCGTCCTCGTGTTGTTTTGAGACGTCTCAGAACAACACTTTTGAGACGTCTCAATACGCCCCTGGAGCCCCCTCTTCACATCTTTACTAGAATCCCACGCGCCTAAACGCACCGTCCTCGTGTTGTTTTGAGACGTCTCAGAACAACACTTTTGAGACGTCTCAATACGCCCCTGCAGCCCCCTCTTCACATCTTTACTAGAATCCCACGCGCCTAAACGCACCGTCCTCGTGTTGTTTTGAGACGTCTCAGAACAACACTTTTGAGACGTCTCAATACGCCCCTGGAGCCCCCTCTTCACATCTTTACTAGAATCCCACGCGCCTAAACGCACCGTCCTCGTGTTGTTTTGAGACGTCTCAGAACAACACTTTTGAGACGTCTCAATACGCCCCTGGAGCCCCCTCTTCACATCTTTACTAGAATCCCACGCGCCTAAACGCACCGTCCTCGTGTTGTTTTGAGACGTCTCAGAACAACACTTTTGAGACGTCTCAATACGCCCCTGGAGCCCCCTCTTCACATCTTTACTAGAATCCCACGCGCCTAAACGCACCGTCCTCGTGTTGTTTTGAGACGTCTCAGAACAACACTTTTGAGACGTCTCAATACGCCCCTGGAGCCCCCTCTTCACATCTTTACTAGAATCCCACGCGCCTAAACGCACCGTCCTCGTGTTGTTTTGAGACGTCTCAGAACAACACTTTTGAGACGTCTCAATACGCCCCTGGAGCCCCCTCTTCACATCTTTACTAGAATCCCACGCGCCTAAACGCACCGTCCTCGTGTCTCTCGTTCACTCACCTGTGTGCGCTCCCCGTCGTACTTATACTCGCACGTGAACGTGAGCCCCTGCAACTTGTCCAGAATCTCCGATATCCCCCGTGTGGGCTTCGCCAGCATGGGCCCCACCGGCACTCCCAAGGTGAACTGACACGCCTCGGGAACGGCCCATATGCCGTCTCTTAATAGGGATGGAACAACTTGGTCGTAAACTGGGAGGACTGAGTACGCATGCTTCATGATGCGCACTGCCTGGGGGTCGGGGGAAAGGGCGGGGATGAGTGGGGGATGGGGGAATCGGGAGTAAAGTGGGAGATTGGGGAATGGGGCGGTCGGGGGGAGTGCGGGATGTGTGGGTTGAGCGGGCCAGCATGGGCCCCATCGGCACTCCCAAGGTGAACTGGCACGGCTAACTGACACTCACCTCTTCTAGTCTTCCCGGCAGTCGAGCCAGTTTTTCCCTCTTTGAAAGCACCTTTCCTCCTTGACTCTCCTTCCCCGGCCCTTTTTCCTCAACCTCTCCCTCCGTCCCCCCATCCCCTCCTCTCCCAACTGCCGCAGCAGCCCCATCCCCACCCTCCTTATTGCCCCCATCCTTATCGTCACCACCCGCACCACCACCACCAGCACCAGCAGCACCAGCAGCAGCAGCGGCAGCATCACCAGCAGCAACACCGGTGCCCTCTCGGAAGTCCTCGTGCATGACAGCAGCCTGAGCCAGGGCGGCGAGCACCGTCTGTTCTGCGAGGCCGATGCGCATCTTGCCCTGCAGCAGGCGCACTATGAACTGCGGCTCCTGCTGCCGCGCCGACACTAGCAGCTGCTTTATCCGCGCCCGCTTCTTCTCCACACTCTGACTGCCTGACTCCTGAGGGAGGGAAGTTAGGGGGTGGTAGAGGCAGGGAAGGCAACGCACACAGACACGGTCACACAGAAGGAGACGTATGGGCCGGAGGCGTTGGGGGAATGCGGGGGTGATAAACCGTAAGGTTCACTCACCACGAGTAGCCAGATTTACTGACCTTGGCGATGAATCGGAAGGCTTCAAAGACCTTGTGGCACGTGAGTGGCGCCGGCTGCATCATCATGCGCTGCGTGGTGCGGCTGGCCTTCGCCACCAGCCCCAGGTCGCCACACTCCTGCAGAAACAAGTAGGATAAAAAAAAAAAAAAAAAAAAACTAGGGATTGAAAATCTCAGACTATAAGGCTCAAAGGTTTGAATGTCAAGGTACACAGGGAGCTGTGACATCTCGAAAGTTCCGTTACGTATTAAGGATAAAGCCATGTAAGAGGCATGACGGCAATGTGGCTACACTACTGTGACACAACCATGCTTCTATCCATGAACCAGCACATTTCTTACAGTGCCTCTCTCCACCCCCTTGCACCACAGTTCATTCATTCCCATCTCACATACCGTCTACGCCGATTCCACCACCACCTCTTACCTCTTCACGGCCTCAGCCAGAGAGCACGTACGATCTCCAGCCTCTTGCTTGTATCACAGTTCACGCAGTCCCGTCTCACTTACCTTGTACTGCGACTTAACCACTGCCTCTTTCCTCCCCGTCACCTCGGCCAGAGCGCAACAAACAGTGGCGTCACCAGTTCATTCGTTCTCATTGAACCTACCTTGCACTCTGATTCCACCACTGCCTCTTTCCTTCTAATCACGTCAGCCAGAGCATGGCATGGATGATAGTCGCATCGCCGAACCCCTCCATAAATCTGAGTCGCTTTTGAGAATTCTCAAAAGCGCCGAACGCCTCCCCCGGCTCTTGCTTGCATCATACTTCATTCAATCCCACCTCACGTACCTTATACTCCGACTTAACCACTGCCTCCTTCCTCCCGGTCGCCTCAGCCAGAGCGCGGATGATAGTCGCATCGCCGATCCCCAGCTCCACGCCCTCGTGAGGTGGCGCGACGCGATTGGCCGCCAGGTACACGATGGGCAGCAGGTCGTCTGGTGACGTGGCCATGACTGTGCGGAACACGTTGCACATGATCTCCGTGATCGCCAGCCGTCCAGATTCGTTGGATATTCCTGCTCATTTGTGCATACAAGGGTGGGTTGCGGTGGGGCAGGGCACGCAGGTCAAAAAGGGATATCCCACCCGCCATGCTCAGCCCCTGATCTTCTACTTCTCACAGCGATAAAATCCGAACCGAATCTTGATTCTCACTATGTATGATCTGAAGCCCTCATGTTCGCAGACTCTACACACCTGCGTGCCCACAACCTCCCACAGCCAACACCTCAGAGCCCAGAGCGCAGAACCCAGAACCCAAAGCCAGAACCAACATACTGTCTAATGCCTACGCAAGGTCCAGGAAGGGCACTCTCTCGCCGCTCTTCCACGTGGCAGCTGCCACCGGGTCATACTGCACCAGCTTCGCTGCCAGCGCCACCAACCCAAACACAACCCAAGCCCCAGAACCCGCATCCCAGACCCCAGAGCCCAGAACCCTCAGCCCAACCCTGGCACACAGCCCATAGACCCCGGCCCAGAGCCCAGAGCCAACGTACTGTCAAGCGCCTGGGCGAGGTAGAGGAAAGGAACTCTTTCGCCGCTCTTCCACGTGGCAGCTGCCACCGGATCATACTGCACCAGCTTCGCTGCCAGCGCCACCAACCCATCGCCTGCTCCTCCTCCTGCCCCTCCTGCCCCCGCCCCTTTCCCCCTGGTTTTCCTCTTGGTTTTCGTTTCTGTGCGGCTCTTTCCTTGCTTTAGGGCGTCAAAGGCGGATTTTGCTTCCTCCGCTCCTGCGGCTGCGTCCACAGGTGGCTCTGCCAGGTCACTGCTGGCACTGTCCACGTCACTGTCCACGTCAGCACCGTCACTGGTGCTGCTGCTACTGGCGGATAATGCCGCACCCTTGCTGCCACTACTGCCGCTGCTGTCACTGCTGCTGCTGCTTCTGCTGCTGGTCCTGCGACGAGTGCCCTTTTTCTTCCCTCCCTCAGCTGCTAACTCAGCCATGGCCGCAGCAGCAGCAGCAGGTGTGCCCGTTGCTGCTTTACTAGCTGTATCTGCTGCTTTACTAGCTGTATCTGCTGCTTTCTTCCTTCCTCTGGCACCAGGTGGCGACTTTGGTGTGACGGCAGGAGTGGAAGCCCCTTTACCAGCCGCAGCAGCAGCAGCAGCAGCGACAGCAGACGCAGAAGCTTTGGCAGCAGCAGCAGCAGCAGCAGCAGCGACGGTGGCGGCGGCAGCTGCAGCAGCGGATTCCTTCCCCTTATTGCCTCCTTCAACCCCGATACTCCCCGTCTCATGCCTTGCCTTCTTTGCACCTTCTCCCACCTCCCCTGTCCCTCCACCCACCGCCACAATCTCTTCTCCTTCACCTGCCCCTTCCCCTCTCCCCTTCCCCGCTCCCCGCGCCCCCTCCCCAACCTTCCTAAGCCGCTTCAACCGCCTCGCGCCAGCTCCGCCAGTCACTGCTTCCCCTGCTCCTCCCCCTGCGCTTCCCCCTCCGCCTTCCCTTCCCCCTACTGCTTCCGCCTCCGCCATCTCTTCCCCCCAAGCTTCCTCCGCCACTGTCTGCTCAGCGCGGGTGTCTTCTTTCCCTGCAGATGCCACTGCTCCATCCCCGTTTTCAACAGCCCCTTTACCAGTCTGTGTGGGTACTGGAGCCTCTGCTGCTGCTGCTCGAGGATCGTTTTTCCTCAATGCCGTTCCCTTCAACTCCTCGCTTGCTTTATCCACCGCACTAGGATTCGATCCCTCGACATCAGATTTACCCGCAGCACCCTCAGCAGCAGCAGCAGCCTTCCCTTTTGCACCGAAAAACGAGGAGATGGACCTCTGGCCGCCCCCAGGTAAAGCCTTCCCCGCAGGTCCTGATGGGTCCTTGCCTCCGAAGAACGAGGCAATGGACCGTTGACCGCGACCGTCAGCAGCAGCGGTAACGCCAGGCTTCTTGGCACCGCTACCTCCCCGACCTGACTTCATGGTAGCTGGCAGCTGGCTGCCGGTTAGCCGTTTGTTGACGGCTAGCTGGTGATTATCGACTGGTGAGTGGTGAGCAGCTGGAGGCTTGCGAACTGAAGGGAGTCGGCGGACGGCTGGCAATCCCTGGAGAGGTGCTGCGCGGTGGAGAGCTGTGGCTCCTGCAGGTCGGATGAGACCCGAACGAGTAACTGCGACGACGGTCCGGCGGGGATGACAGCTGAGATGCACGGCGTTGGCGCGCAACGTGGGAAGCCGGGTAAAACTTAAGCAGCAGCTGCGGAAGTTAAGCGCTAAGCTCATGGAGAACCACGCCCTGACGGCACGCCCGGAAGTCCTGAGACCCCTGGGACCTCACGTTCGTGGGAAGGTAAGCGCTAAGCTCTTGGATAAACACGCCCTGACGGCGGATAACGACCCCTGAGGACACCTTGCAGCGCCTGAAGACAGTCAAATCAAGGTGGACAGATCGGTTGAAGTAGGTTCACCAGTGATGCTACGATCCACCGCTGGGTTGCTTATTAACGTAGACTCATCCGCTGCTTGCTCTTGAGCCGATTCATCAGTGATCTATTCACTAGCAAAATCTACTGTTTGCGCAGCCTAATGCGTGCAGCTCTGCGAACGAACGAAAGCAATGTGCTTGGACGAGAGAACTGCAAGAGAACTGCGTCAGAGTCTCAGAATGCTGTTGAGAGTGGTAAGTCGAATGGTGAGGTGGATTGGGGAGGAATTGAGATAGAAGCAAGCACTGATTTCTCCGAGTTGAGTCTGTCTGACGCATTTAGTTTCGCGCCAAAGCCCAAGGCGCGAACTCATCCTGTGCTACAGAAGGTTATGCTGTACCCTTCTGCTATTTCGATAGTAGCATACAGTAAAATATTACATCTCAGGTCCGTATAATTTTATGGAACTGTAGAACATTACAACAAATGCACAATTTGTAGTTCCAACACCGGATACACCTGCGGCTTGGGAGATTCCGTTCCATGCATATGGTGTGGGAGCAGTCAACAGAGACTGTCGCCGGCGAGCCGCATTGCCATGACTCGCTAGGCTACCGACGACGTTTGCTCTAGGTTTGCTGAACAATGTGACCTCGCTTTCGCCGGTGACGCGGATCACAAATATCCCGCCAAATTTGTACCAGTGGATTAGATCGAACGAGAGTTTCTGACAATGCCGCGGTCAGTTGCCACGTCAGCTCCGCGCTTTCCCGCATTTCTCTCCCGCCCTCCCCTCCCGCTCATCATCGGCGCGCTTTTCGCGCTGCTGCTCCTAGGGTTGTTCCTCTCTTCGCCGCCCACGCCGTCGCTACCGACAAGCGTTCCCGCCCATGACAGGCTGGCGAACTTCCACCCTATCAGCGAGGTAAATGGTGGGACCGCGTAGGGGAAAGAGTACACAAAGACAGTAAGATGAGCTCGCAACAACCCCATTGTTGATGGTGGTGGTGAACAACCATCAGGTTCAGGATGTGACTGGAGGTGGTGATGGTGATGGTGGTGACAACAGTCACACCCCACCACAACCATCACCGGATCCGCCAACCCACCACCACCCCAGTCACACTCACTCCCGCCTCTGAGCTTCCTCCAGGTCCAGACCCATTCCCTCATTCCCGGGAGTTTTTGAGAATTCTCAAACACTCACTCCCGCCTCTGAGCTCCCTCCAGGTCCAGGCCCATTCCCTCATTCCCCCCTTAGCACCCACCCCTGCTCTCTACAAACCGCATCCCTCCCCTGCTTCTCACTCCCACCACGGCCAATTCCCCTCCCTCCTGGTTCGGTGGGCTATCAACAGGTGCGGCGATGTGACAGAGAAGAAATCCGGCCCGGCCCTCTCCCCCGTCCCCTCCCTTGCACCCGCCTTCTTCCCACGACTCACCTCATTCCAACCACTCCCACCGCTGCCCATTCCACCCGCCTTTCTTCTCTCTCCCCTCCAGGTGCGGTGGGCCATCATCGGGTGTGGCGATGTGACAGAGAAGAAGTCCGGCCCGGCGCTCGCCCTCATCCCCTCGTCTCGCCTCGTGGCTGTCATGCGCCGCAACGCCACCCTGGCTCAGGACTACGCGCAGCGCCACCACGTGCCCAGGTGGGGAATAGTAGGTGCTCTCTTGCACTCCTGTAGGTGGGTGCAGGTGGGGGTGGGCAGGTGGGCAGGTGGGCAGGTGGGCAGGTGGGGGTTGGCGCTCGCCCTCATCCTCTCGTCTCGCCTCGTGGCTGTCATGCGCCGCAACGCCACCCTGGCTCAGGACTACGCGCAGCGCCACCACGTGCCCAGGTGGGGGTGGGCAAGGGGTGGGCGGGCAAGGGGTGGACGGGCAAGGGGTGGACGGGCAAGGGGTGGGCGGGCAAGGGGTGGACGGGCAAGGGGTGGACGGGCAAGGGGTGGACGGGCAAGGGGTGGGCGGGCAAGGGGTGGACGGGCAAGGGGTGGGCGGGCAAGGGGTGGACGGGCAAGGGGTGGGCGGGCAAGAGGGGGGGGTTGCAGCGCTCCAACCGATTTGGCAACGCTGCAGCGCCGCTTACTCTCGGTCGGCATTGCTCTGGCTGAATGGGGTTCACTTGTGCCTGGCCGCTTGCACATGGCAGGTGGTCAACAAACGCAGAGGAGACAATCAACGACGCCGATGTGAACGCTGTGTACATCGCCACTCCCCACCGATACCACAAGCAGTGAGTCGGCAGAATGTGCTGAGTTGGCAGAATGTGCTGAGTCGGCAGAATGTGCTGAGTTGGCAGAATGTGCTGAGTCGGCAGAATGTGCTGAGTCGGCAGAATGTGCAGAGTCGGCAGAATGTGCTGAGTCGGCAGAATGTGCTGAGTCGGCAGAATGTGCTGAGTCGGCAGAATGTGCAGAGTCGGCAGAATGTGCTGAGTCGGCAGAATGTGCAGAGTCAGCAGAATGTGCTGAGTCGGCAGAATGTGCTGAGTCGGCAGAATGTGCAGAGTCGGCAGAATGTGCTGAGTCGGCAGAATGTGCTGAGTCGGCAGAATGTGCAGAGTCGGCAGAATGTGCAGAGTCGGCAGAATGTGCAGAATCGGCAGAATGTGCAGAGTCGGCAGAATGTGCTGAGTCGGCAGAATGTGCTGAGTCGGCAGAATGTGCTGAGTCGGCAGAATGTGCTGAGTCGGCAGAATGTGCTGAGTCAGCAAGTAATGAAAACACAAATCTCATGCACCAACCTCATGCACCAACCTCGGGCTATTTCTCGCATTCTTCCCTGCCATGACTTGCCATACATTTCGCCCGCTCTGTGCCTGCCACGTGGCGCGGGTGCAGATATGCCATCATGGCAGCGCGGGCAGGGAAGCCAGCCTACGTGGAGAAGCCAATGGGAATGAGCCACTTGGACAGCTCTGACATCCTCGCTGCCTTCCAGCGCGCCAAGCTGCCTCTCTTTGTCGCCTACTACCGCCGCGCCCTGCCCAACTTCCTCAGGGTGTGTCCCGAATCCGCCCTGACTGAAATGCGCCTCTTTGTGCCTGACTGAAATGCGCCTCTTTGTGCCTGACTGAAATGCGCCTCTTTGTGCCTGACTGAAATGCGCCTCTTTGTGCCTGACTGAAATGCGCCTCTTTGTGCCTGACTGAAATGCGCCTCTTTGTGCCTGACTGAAATGCGCCTCTTTGTGCCTGACTGAAATGCGCCTCTTTGTGCCTGACTGAAATGCGCCTCTTTGTGCCTGACTGAAATGCGCCTCTTTGTGCCTGACTGAAATGCGCCTCTTTGTGCCTGACTGAAATGCGCCTCTTTGTGCCTGACTGAAATGCGCCTCTTTGTGCCTGACTGAAATGCGCCTCTTTGTGCCTGACTGACATGCGCCCCAGGTATATCACAAAGAGAGCCGCCCTGTTTTTGTCACCCTGAGCGAATTACAGACACACCTTACTAATGCCGTGCGCTGCCCAACTTCCTTAGCGTGTGCCTGTTGGATTCCGGTGCCATAGGGGACATCCTGTCCGTGCAGGTGGTATACCACCGGCCGCCCAACAAGGCCGACCTCCTAACCCACCCAACCCTGCCAACCCCCCCTCTCTGCAGGTCAAGGCCCTATTGGAATCTGGGGCGATAGGGGACATCCTGTCCGTGCAGGTGGTATACCACCGGCCGCCCAACAAGTACGACTACCAGTGGGCGACCAGCGGGGTCCCGAGTCAGAAAGAGCTGCAGACGATGCTGCAGCAACAGCAGCAGCAGCAACAGCAGCAGCAGCAACAGCAGCAGGGGGGAGGGGGACGGAACGAGGAGGGGAGTGGAGCAAGGGAGCAACAGCAGAGGCGGTACCCGTACCGCCCGCTACCCCAGCACCACCCGGCAGGGGCGTCACTCCACAACGCCTCTCTCAAGTGGCGCGTGGATCCGCTTGTGGGCGGGCTGGGAGGGTACTTCCGAGACAAGGGCAGCCACCAGCTGGACCTGCTGGACTTCTGGTTCGGGCCCGTGGTGAGTGCGGCTGCGGATGGGGGTGTGGAGTGTGGACCCGTGGGGAGTGCTTGTTTACTCTCTTTAACAACGTCCACGCGACACCACTCAACACAACGGACAAGGGCAGCCACCAGCTGGACCTGCTGGACTTGTGGTTCGGCCCAGTGGTGAGTGCATGTGAGGTGCGGAGGGAGTGGGGGACCCATGGAGAGTGCATGGGACAGAACCACCAGCCATTCATCACAAAGGACAAGGCAAGCCGCTACTTCCTCCACTTGTGCTTCTGCCCCGTGGTGAGAGCCGATGTATGTTGTCTTGAAGCGGGCCTCTTGGAGCATGCCTCTTGGAGTGTGCTTCTTGGAGCATGCCTCTTGGAGCAGGCCTCTTGGAGCGGATGGTACTTTCAAGACAATAAAACACCAGCTCGACCTCCTAAGGCTTGTGGTTTAGGCCCATGGCGAGTTCTTATGGGCGATTTTTACCCTTGAATAATGCTGGTTCAACTGGCCGTTACCCTGGGTAAGAAAAAGTACCACCTGTTGCGACTTGTGGTTCACCCTCTTGTGAATTTTGTGAGTTCACAAGAACCGCATTTAATCCATATGCTTTCCCGTCCACGTCGAGAATGATGTCCCCTCCGACCCTCCCTTCTTTCATGGCTCCTGTACAGGTGGCAGTCTCTGGTTGGTCCACCAATCTTGCAGGCCTCTACCCGTCTCCTGATACAGTCACAGCCTACTTCAGATTTGCCAATGGAATCGTCGGCACGGGCAGCTGGAATTTCGCAGCAGGCAAGTCCAGCCAGCAGGAGTACGGCGAGATCACGGGCAGCTCGGGCAGAATAAAGTTCCAGTTTTTCCTGTCCAATAAGGTGGAGCTGTGGAACGACACGGGGCACTATGAGTGGGATGACCCGAGCCCAGAGCACGTGCAACAGCCATTGCTGGCGACAGTAGTGTCGGCTCTTAGAGGACAGGGGGAGTGTCCGAGTGTGGGAGAGAGTGCAATTCGAACGAGCTTTATTCTGGATAAAATTGTTAATGGGGGAAGCTGGCCGTGAAAGCAAGTATGCTATGGTTGCTGGATCCGGTCATGATTATTGAGAGTGTGGAGGAAGGGCGGGGAGGGGAGGGGAGGTAAGGATGGTAATTGAGCTGACAGTCATTACAAACATTTTTACCCATGTAAAACCACCCGCTGTCTTTCAGACGCTTCATCTGTATACTTAAGAAGGAAGAGGCGGAAGCTGTATGCTGGAGTTTGTCGAGCTTCGTTGCTTACGGCTCTATATATATTTTTGTGTGCATGATACACTTGGTCATTGCCAACTCCAATCCCTTTGTTCTCTAACCCTTGGTTCATCTGAAGCCAAGGGCTGTTCAGGACAATTCAAATAGTGAGGTGATATGCTGGAGACTCCGTGTACAACTAGAGGAACGGAAAGAGACATGTACTATACATGAGAACATAATTGATAGACCCTAGTTTCTGGGTGTCTCATTGCTCTTGCCTACATAGCCTGTTTCAGAAAGCCTGTCAGGGCATGAAATAGGTGTTACTAGGTGTATAATTTGAAATAAAGACCATAAGAATAGAAGTCTTATCAAAAGTAATCAGATATTCCACAGTGCTTCCTTGTTATGTGAATTCACTGAGCCGAGGCGGCATTTGATGCTTTGCACACTGACTCGCTACAGTGTTTTTGCTGAGGTGGCTGTGCTGTGTGGCGCTGTCATACAATATCGCGTCCTTATGGTGCGCTGTCAGATTGAGTGGTTGGGCTAGGCCTCTCGCTATCAACAGTCCTCCCCAGACCTGAAACGTCTTCTGATTGGACCCCTCAACTCTCGTAAAGATTGGTTCTCATGGAACCTATCAGCCAATCGCTGAAATGCTAGTGGTGTGTGAGAAACGGAAGAGGCCAAAAACCAAACTGTACCTGGCGGCCCGGGAACGGAAACTTGAATACTCCCTCCAAGCTTTACGTTCCCGTCAAACTCTTTCCAGGCCCTTCAAGCTTCTCCTTCCTTGCAGCAAGGCGGACACGGGAACCGATTTGCCAAGGCCCGGTTTCGAGAGCCCCATTGCCAAAGCTTGCCGTCTCGCTTTGCCTCACAGTTGAATGCCTCAGCGTTTTCTGTTGTAGAGCACTCACCTGTTAGTGGTTAGCTGCGTTTGCATGTAGTGTGTCTATATTGGATCGCACAGGAAAACCAGCTTGCGTGGGAAAGCATCGGAACGAGTTCCGAACGCTAAGCGGAAACAGCTCGGTTTTCTCCGACAGCTCTCTTGACGAAGCATTACTAATGGCAGATTCCGACGCCTTACCGGCGTCGCCTAACGGGAATTTAGAAGCGGAGAAGGATTGCGAAGGGTTATTGACGGGGCAAGAAAAGACAGGTGGGGGTTGTTACCCGTCGCTGAACCTCAACGGATCAAAGCCACATCAGAAACGGCGACCTTTAGGGATTCTAGGTAAAGCCGCGCGAATGCCGCCGTCTTCGGCGGCTGAGAGCTATGACCCGTCTGATAGTGCCGCGTTTCCATGCCATGATGTCGCGAGCACTCCGGCACAGGCAGCAGATCTGGAGGTGGATTACGATTCGTCCGTTCTTGCCACGTCACCGTTTCATCGTGTCGCCGGCGGCGTACCCGCACAGACAGGGGTGCTTGCCGCCTTGTCGTGCTTCAGCGGCAATGGCAATGGCGCATCATGCGCATCGGCGGAGGAGAACGAGAGGGTGAACGAGGAGGAGGCGCCAAGAGAAGAGGGGAGGGAAGGCGCGAGGGAGAGTGAGAGAGACGATAGGAGTGATCTCGATTCGGCGGAGGGGGCGGAGTGGGCGGAGGGAGCGGAGGAGGCGAAGCAGGCGGAGTGGGCGGCGGAGGGCGCGGAGGGGGCGGAAGAGACGGGGTGGGCGGAGTGGGCGGCGGAGGGGGCGGAAGGGGCGGAGGGGGCGGAGGGGGCGGAGGAGGCGGAGTGGGCGGGAAGTGCCGAGGGGAATGCGTCTGAGGATGGCGGGCATAAATTCCGCGGATGGGAGTATGAGGCGGAGATGGCTATTCTGGCGGAATCGATAGCGGAAGAGAGGATCGCGGAAAAGGGGTTCGCGGAAGGGGCGGAAGGGCCGGAAGGGCACCATCGGCGGGAGTCGTGGGCGTCGAGTGTGGAGTGGTTCGTGTCGTGGCCGCTCAGACGACTCAGCCACCCGTGGCGCAAGGTACGCCAGTATAGTACGCACGCGCTGTGTGTGTGTGTGTGTGTGTGTGTGTGTGTGTGTGTGTGTGTGTGTGTGTGTGTGTGTGTGTGTGCGTGCGCCACGCGGGCGAGCATGGAAGTCTGAGACGGTAGTAGAGACCTCCCATCTCTATTCTGTAACGTTGGTGCGTGCTCGGAATAGATTCTCCTGGTGGGCATTCCGGCAATGGTGGTTCACAACCCCAACCCCATGGAAGCATTCTGCGTGACTGTGAGAGTGACCGTGAGAGTGGGCGTGGTCATGGGCGTGTGCTTGAGCGTGCGCGTGGACGCTTGCGCGGGCGCGGGAGCGGGCACGGTTTGTCCTGAGCAATGACAGGCTGTTGGTGGGTGTGGGTGTGGGTGCTACTGTCTTCTCAGCTTCTCTCCTGTGGTCACAACCTCCCCTCTCTCTCTCCCCAACCCCCCCCTCCCACCTTCCAGCGGCTGCTGTGGATGTGGGTGGTGCTAGCAGCGGCCATCCTGTCGCTGGTGTTTGCAGTGGCGTGGCAGCACGCGCAGGCAACTGAGAGGGACGACCTGGAGGGGCACTGTGACGAGTGGGGGGCGTTTATTGAAGCCAAGTTCAACATCACTGCTGCTAACACACGCTCCATTTCCGATTTCATCCGCGCCTATTACCTCGATAAGTACGGGCAGCCAAAGGCTTGCTTCACTTATCCTGTGCTGGGAAGTTCTGTTATGGTGTTGATTTCAACTGTGCCTACTACCTTGTTAAGTACGGGAAGCCGTGTGCATTCTTTGCTTTGCGTCGCTTCGCCTATAGCATGTAGGGCAATGTAGGGCCTCCTTATTGTACCCAATCTCCCAACGCTTCTCTCCTGCTAATAAATTCGTACCTTTCGCATTCTCCCCTCTCCTTATATCCCTACCACCCCACCCCTCCACCGACCCTGCCAATCATCTGCCTTACACAATCCCTCCCCCCTCCACCCCTTATGAGGCGTGCGCCTCGAAAGCTGATTACCTGCCTGACACAACACTGGCATCCCTTCCCCCACCCCCTCTCTCCTCCCACCTTCTCCGCAAGCAGCGTGAAGGAGGACATACTTGATGTGCCCAAATTCCAACGCTTCACTCAGGCCACTCTCGACAGCCGACCCATGGCGTCATGTGAGTTGCATGTGATATGTTCCATGGCATCATGTGAGTTGCATGTGATATGTTCCCGCGTTTCCCCACTGGATTCCTCCAGCTTCCCCCCTGTGTTCCCTCCCGTCGCCCCCCTGTGTCCCTTGCAGTCGTGGGCTTCATTCTGCTCATCAACAACACGTTCGTTCGGGACATAGTGGAGAAAAGCGCCCACCACTGCATCTTCGCCCCCGAGCCCAACGGCACGCTAACCTGCCGCCCGCGCGACCTGCCGCTGTACGCACCGATTGTCATCTTCAACTCTCGCAAGGAGTTCACTGCGCGCGTGAACCTCTCTGCAGTCTGTTGCAATGACCTTATGTCAGGTGATTGGAAAGACCAGGCCAGTAAGACTGCCTTTGATTATCAGTTGATGATAAATTTGTTTTGTGACGTCGTCTCAAAACAAAGGCTTTTTCTTGTGGTAAGGCAGCAAGCTGGTTTCGGAAAGGCCTGTGGGAAACATCAGCAGACGTGGAGTTTGTAAGTAACAAGACGCGAAGCGAGCAATCCTTAAGATTTGTTTCCGGAAATAAAAAAAGCTCTCTTGCTCACTCTTGTAATCCTCGTTCAAGGCGCTAATTCTAACCCATACTGCTGCCCCATCCCCTAACCCCACTTCCCCGTCCCCAGTCCTTCTTGCCCTATTCCCCCCGCCCCTCCTTGTTAGAAGAGATAATTGATGCATTGAATAATGAGCATGGAGGCTCTTTAGTACAAACAATGAGCAAAAGAGAGATGAGAGGGAATCTTACCCTATTGGCCAGTAAGTTGGCCAATGGGTGAGCTTGCTTGTGGCCCAAGCAACCACAAATGTGTGCTGGTTGGGATTGGTTGAACTAAGAACCAATCCTCACCAACCACGAGATGTGGTTGGATGGTACACTAAACAACCCCCTTAATATATAAAAATGCTACACATCTAATTCTAGACTATGTATGTTGTATAAAAGATGAAATTGCAACACTCCTTGCCCTACTCCCCCAGCTCCTCTCAGACACAGTGGTGAACGATACAATACACCGGGCCATTGATCCACTTAGCCTCCTCCGCCATGTCCCCTCCCCAAGAGATGCTTGAGATAAAGAATCCCCCTCTTTCCCTCCTCCACCCTCTCCTCCTTTCCCGCTGCCTCCCACCGCCCCTGTCAAAATCAGTGGTGGAAGATACAATACAATCCATCTGGCCATCGATCAGTTCCGAATCCTCTACAATGTCCTTGGCAGTTACTTGAGTAGTCACCCCCTTCTCCTCCTCACTCTCCAACCTCCTTCCCTGCCTTCCCACTGTCTCCAGAACCGGCTTTTAACGACACGTTCCACCGGGCCATCGACTCTGCATCCTCTGCCATGTCTCCGCCCTTCATGCGCGGCGACTACCCCTACCACTTCGTTGGAGATGCCTTCCCAGTCTACTCCAACCTCACCACCTTCGCCCTGCCTCCCTCGCCCTCCAATCCGTCCGTCGCCATTCCCCCGCTCGCCACCCCTGCGGACCTCCCACTGGGGTTGTCATCGCGGGGTATAACTTTGCAAACCTGCGAGCACTCATGGGGTTTCAAGAGCTGGTGGAGCTGAACGCGAGGGTTTATGTGGTCGATGGGACGAGGGGCGGCACGTGGGATGGTGCGAGGAACGAGGACGGGAAGGCTGGAAAGTGGTTGCCGGCGCTGTTGTTTGATCATGACGGGGTGGTGGGTGAGGAGGAGATTGGAGCATGGATGATGGATGGGGAGGGGCAGGAGGAAGGGGGGAGAGTGCGGCGGACATTGCACATGGGTGATCCGACGAGAAAGTTCCATCTTTTTTGCGAGTGAGTTGAGGTGTGCGTGTGGGTGCGCTAAGATACAGGCACATGTGTAAGTATGTATGTAGAGGCATTTACGCATTAGGCGTACATGCGTCATGCATGCATGATGCATCCATGCATTCAAAAGACATGCATACTTGCGTGCATGCGTATACACATATGTGCACGTATGTCGATGTGCACGTATCCCTCCCAAGCTGCATGTCTCTTGAACCCAACCTTTCCCATCCTTCCTGTAGGAATTGGATTGGTGAACTTCAGGGCACAATGAGAATAAGATGGTAGATGGTTCAAGCCTTAAAGACTGGAGCAATGTCATTGTCTAAGGATGCCACATATGTATAGCTAAACTCTTTAGGCTAGTTGCAACACCTCAAAGCTGAGGAAAAGGCTAGCCAACCTTGCCAAGCTAGCAAGGAAGGCTTCATGTTGCACATGTGGGCCCGGCTGTAACAAAAGCCCACATGACATCATGGCACGATGTAAGCCCACATCGTAAGGGCCAGGAAGTTGAGCACTGGATGAGTGGACAGGTAGCAATGCAGCTGTAACCACACTTCATTGCGGGTGAGTGAGGTGGAGTATGGACATGTCATGGTGAGCGTAATGAGAAGCGAAACTACAAATGTTGAGAGTTGAACCCACAATCTCTGAGAAACTACCCACTGAGACATACAAGGTGCAGAACACTCCCTTTGCACCATTTGTCTCCCTCCCACCCCCACGCTCCTCTCCCTCTCCCTCGCCGCTTGCCCTCCATCTCGCCACAGGACATCTCCCAGAGCGGGCAGTTTGGTCCCATCATGTGAATTGTGGTGGCTAGTTCTAAAGCCCATCGATTTTGTTTTCCTTTTCCACCACGCACCCCCCATTCCTCCATAGACACATCTACGACTGCCACCACCTCCCTGTCCCACTACATGAGCTTTGCGCCTCCCCCACCCTCTCGCTACCCCCAACACCCCTCCTCCCCACCCACCAAACCCTCCATCTCGCTACAAGCTCATATTCCTTCCCCCGCACGCCCCCCTCGCTCCCCCTCTCCCCCTCCCACCTCTCCCCCTCCCACCTCTCGCCCTCCCACCTCTCGCCCTCCCACCTCTCGCCCCTCATCCCACGACAGGCACATCTCATACACGAAGCCGTTCAGCCCGTTCATCTGGATCATCGTGGCCGCACTTTTTCTCGGTGTCTCAACCATCCTCCTTTGGACATGCATCCAGCTCATGCACGCCTTTGAGTGCGACTGCCAGCACCTAGCTGCCGCCCAACATGAGCTGCGTGCCGCCCGCTTGGAGGCCGAGGCGGCGAGCCGAGCCAAGGGCGCATTCCTCACGACGATGTCGCATGAGATCCGCACACCCATGAACGGCGTCATAGGTAACGTGGTAACATGGTATAGCAAGAATGTGGTAAGGCAGTAGCGTGATATTGTGGTACCAATCACTGTTGTTTGGATGAGAGATAATTTCATTCGTGAAATCTCGGGAGCGGTTCATCAAACCCATGATGAACGTTGGTTGGTTTCATCATTTGGTTGTATATGGAACGTCTATATGTACTGCGAAACGACTGAAAAATGAACAGAAAAAAAGACTCGCTGACAAGGAGTGAAACTGGTCGACATGAGCAAAGTTATGAGCGAAATTTATACAGCGAAAACATAGGTAACGGTAATGAGTGAACATGGGGATGCCTAACGAACCTAGCGCAGAGGTTGGGAAAATGCCAGAGTCGTAGGGCCGGTCCGTAGGTTACTAGCTGGTCTGGCCGCAATGGTTGTGATGGCGGGAACAGTAGACGAGACGAATGTCGCGTGTTTGGTCATGTTGGCAGAAACTTTGCTGTACGCGGTATGTGAGGTGACACAAAGTAACGAAAGGTTAGTTTCCTTACATCTGGAATTCTTTTAGCTCTTGTTTTCTGCTCCTGTTGTTACGATGTTTATAGCGCGTACAATGTTACGACAAAACGTACGTTGTATTATGCCTGCAAATGTGTCAAGCGAATTCAACAAAAGCTAACAGATACACAAACACACTATGCAGATGCAAACACATTACATATTGTTACAAACGGACATCAGAATGTCGAGTTCAGTGAAGTGAATCTGCACGCAACAATCTGCTATTGGAATCCCATGTGGACGAGCTGACTGCTGTCTCTTCCCCCCCTTCTCTCTCCCTTTCCTTCCCCCCTCCTCTCCACCAGGCATGCTAAATCTACTCATGGAGACTCCTCTAGACAGGTCGCAGAAGGACTATGCGGAGACGGCGTGCAGCAGCGGGCGGGCGCTGTGTGCGCTGATCAACGACATTCTCGACCTCTCCAAGATCGAGGCTGAGAAGCTCCGCCTCGAACGCATCCCCCTCAACCTGCGCGCCGAGCTCGACGACGTGCTCGCGCTCTTTGTGGAGAGCGTTCAAGAGAAGTGTTCTGTGGAGCTTGCTGCGTTTGTTGCCGATGACGTGCCGGAAATGCTCGTGGGGGATCCGCTTCGGGTGAAGCAGGTGCGTTGAGGGGCAGGCAGGTGCTTAGAAACGGCAAGCGCTTGGAATGGTCAGGGTACGACAAGCTGGATGACGCTGAGGAAAAAGCACCTCATGAAGCTTGCCACATTTTTTTTTCGATGACAGTGTGCCGTGCCTGAGGCGCTCACAAAGGATTTGCTCCGGTTAAATCTGTCAGAATCCCACCCAGTACACCACTGGGATAAATGTGCTTGTTAAGTAGCGGATGAGTGCGCCCATAATCGCCCAGGCTGTGAACCTATAACTCTTTCTTATAATCAATTGGGGATCCCCAGTGCAGGTCTTCTGACAAAATCTGGTGCTGAGAAGAGAAGGTGCAGGTGCTTATAGGGCCATGGATGGGTGCTTGGCAGCGTCAGGTGCACGGCAGGGTGAGGTGCATGGCAGGGTGAGGTGCATGGCAGGGTGAGGTGCATGGCAGGGTGAGGTGCATGGCAGGGTGAGGTGCATGGCAGGGTGAGGTGCATGGCAGGGTGAGGTGCATGGCAGGGTGAGGTGCATGGCAGGGGCATGGCCTTTCGTGGAGCCGCTTGGGCTGGATTCCTTAGTTCATCACACTCTCTGCGCCTTCCCCTTCTCACACATGCAACGCCTTCAAATTCTCGTCCAATGCCCCTTCTCCATGCACGTGTGTGTGTGTGTGTGTGTGTGTGTGTGTGTGTGTTTGTGTGTGTGTGTGTGTGTGTGTGCAGCGCGCGAACGCGCGCGTGCCTCTGTGTGTGTGTGTGTGTTTCTTCTCCTGTGCAATAGATCCTCATCAATCTCATAAGCAATGCATTCAAGTTCACCACCAAGGGCCATGTCTTCATTGCCGTGCGCCTCGCAACCGCCACCGACAGTGGCACCACCAGCTGCAGCCGTGCCTCCCCGCTGCTGCTCTCTTCTTCTTCCTCCACCTCCTCACCATCAGCATCACCCTCACCGTTACCATCCTCATCACCTCACTCCGAGACAACTGCCAGCAGGCACCGGGCTGTTGACAATGGCTTTGGCAAGGCAAGCAGGCTCGGAGAGGGGAGGGTTGCTGATGAGAACTCTGAGGAGCACCCTGCAAGCAGCTGTATAGCAAAGAGGGATCCGTGTGCAATTGTTGAGACGTCTCACAAACCAAGCACCTGTACAGCAGGGAGGGATCCATGTCCACATGTTGCTGCCTCTGCTGCTGTAAAAGGGAGGAACGGTCCTGCTGGGGATGATGGTGATGATGGCGCTAGTGGCAAGGCCTGCATGGCTAGCAGTGTGGCCACTACTGCTGGCGGTGTGGGCACTAGTGGCGGCAGTAAAACCATTGTGGAGGCATCTATTGAGCCTGCGTGTGTGACACTGAGCGGCCGACCAGCCATGAAGTCGTGGTGTTCGTGGGAGGGCATGTGGGAGCACATGGACCTTGCTGCTGTGGGCATGGGCATGGGCATGGGCATGGGCAAGGCGAGCTATACTGGCCATGGCGATGGGCATGGGGGGCATGGCGATGGGCATGGTGATGGCGGTCTTGGCCAGGAATATGGCGAGGGATATGCCGATGGGCTTGCCGATGGGGATGGGGATGGGAATGGCAATGACCGTGGCCGTGGCATCATGGGACCCGACCAGCCTGTGCGCCTGATGGTGGCTGTTGAAGACACCGGCACCGGTATCCCGCGGCACGCTCGGAGGCACATCTTCCGGCCGTACGCCCAGGCGGAGCGCAGCACGGCACGGCTGCATGGGGGGACTGGCATCGGGCTCTCCATCTGTAAGGTGCGTTGCGTTGGGGGTGCGTCATTGAATGTGTCAAATTGGGCTTTAAGGTGCGTTTCATCAGCCTCTCCATTTGCAAGGCATGTTGTGTTGGGACGGCTGACTTGTAAGGTACATTATGTTGCCCCACCCACCTCCCACCTCCTTCCCTTGTCCCTCACACCAACCCCTCCCTTGCCCTTCCCCACTCCCCCATGTGAGCAGCGCCTGGTGTCACTGATGGGAGGATCCATCTCGTTCGTCTCAAAGCCAGGCGTCGGCACCACCTTCCTCTTCGATATCCTCCTCCACACACCCCCTCTCCCTCACCCCCCTCCCTCTCCTCCTCCTCCCCAACCCCACACACGTCTTACTCCTGTCCGGCCTCCCTCCTCTCTCTCCCTCTCTTCTCCCCTGCCTGCTGCATCCCCAGCCTCCCTCCCCTCTGGCACGCCCTGCATCCCCTCCCCTCCTCCTCGGAGCCCCTTCCACTTGCCCCACCAAATCACAACCCACCAGCAGCTTCAGCAGCAGCAGGGGCAGCACCAGGTGGGAAGTACGCCAGAGTGTGAGAGCGGTGGGAGTGGTGGGACGGCGGCGAGTGCGCTAGAGGGTATGTGTGTGGCGATCAGTGGGAATAACGGGAGGGCGGCACGGGGATGGGAGGGCGTGTGTGTGGTGAGCGGTGGGAGTGGTGGGAGGGCGGCGGGACCTCTAGAGGGTGTGTGTGTGGTGAGTGTGGACGACCGGCCGGTGCGGCATGCCGTCACTCTCTCTCTGCTGCGCCGCCTTGGCATCTGCACCCTCCCCTGCCCCTCCTTCCACCTCCTCCCCCACCTCCTCGCCCACCACCGCTCCTTGCACCATGGGTCGTGCCATGCCGTGCAAGATGACTCATCTAATGCGATGGGCCATGCTTCGTGCCATGCTGTGCACCATGGGTCATCGAGTCATGCCATGCATGCTCCAAGCGAGCAGCAGGCGGAGCACCAGGCAGAGCAGCAGCAGGGGGAGGACCAGGAGGAAAAGCACCAGCAGGAGCAGCCAGGGGAGCAGCAGGAGGAGGAGAAGAAGCAACACAAGGCGGAACTAATCTCTGAGCCGTCTCTTGCTGCAACATACCTCTCTCACCTCCTCTCTCCTAGTCGCACAACCAACCACCCCACTCATGCTCCATGCACCGTGTCTCTCACAGCCTCACCAGCAGCACCCCACCCACCGTCGTCTCCTCGTACCCAAAAACGGGCGCCTCGTGCCCTTCCCCCTCATCATCGCCGCGTTAAGTCCCACACTGCCCTGTCATGCTTCGCACTACCCACCTCGCAGCTCTCCTTTGGGTCCCTTCTAACCGCTTCCCCCACGACTCTTGAGGCGCATGAAAAAGCCCACCAATTGCCTCCTCCGACCCCTCCCCTTCCTCCTCGCCGTGTTAAGTCTCACACCTCACTGCCATGCCTCGCACTACCCACCTTTCAACGATCCATCGCAGCCCTTATAACTACTTCCCCCACACCCCACTCCGCACCTCATGATCAGTCTCTGGTCCCTCTGCTTTCAGAACCAGCCCATGGCACATGCACTCAAGCCCACTCAGAACCAGCCAGTCATCCTCGTGAGGAGTTATCCCCTTCTCTCGACCCATATGGCTCTACTCTTGACCTGTCTGCTCCTTCTCTCGAGCCGTTTGGCTCGCCGGCTGTTCTTGTGACTCCTCCACCCGTTGCTCCCCTCTCCCGCCAGTGCTCCTTCCCTCCTGTCTCACTCTCTGCTTCTCCTCCCTGTCCTCCTCTCTTGGTTGCTGCTTCTCCTCCGTGCCCGCTTATCTCCATCTCCCGCCCTCGTTCCCGCCCTCCTCTCACCATCGATGTTCACTCTTCTACTGAGAGAAGTGCAAGCGGAGGGGAGGAGGAGCAGCAGTGGCATCAGCTGCAGCAAGAGAAAGAGGAGACGGAGGAGGGGGAAGAGGGGAAGGAGGAGGAGAAAGAAGAGGTGGAGGAGGAGGAGGAAGGAGAGCAGGAAGGAGGGGAGGGGGATGGAGTGGTGCAGGTCCAGCAACGCGTTTCCAGGATCTCTCAAAGATTGCAGCAGCGGGTGCACTACAGGAGCTTGAGCAAGGAGGAGAGGCGGGGA